AATCTTCCTCTCGGCAATGTCAACGGAGACAGCGGAAGGGCTCACACCTACGATGTTTCCGAGGTGAAGGTGCTTCGATTCTTCAAGGAGGTCATGTTCAAGTCAACCACCAAGAAGTACTTCAGTATGAACCAGAGCAGAGACGTTCGGACACCGTATATGTTCAAATCGACCACTACAAAGGACCACATACCGACTTCGGCTCAAGGTATGCACAAAAGAAAGGAATTTCGTGACGCTCGCACTCTCAGGCCATTAACTGTTTACATGGTGGCCTTTCTTTCATACATATGACATATGGAACAGTCCTGCATGATATCAAACCGGATGCGAAAGGGCGGAAAGTGCTGAGCGTCCCCTGTGGCCGTCAGACCATGGAGAATGCGCTGAAGGCACTTTGCTATCTCCAGGATAGACAGAGCAAACGTCCGATACGCCCGAACGAGGAGCCCGAGCTTCGTAAATCGTCACTCATCAATAACGCCATGGACAAGTACTCTAACGACCTTGTAGTTGGCATCCTTGTGAACCACAAGGATCTTTCAGCCGAGTGCGAGATCCGAAATGCCTATACCGTCGCTCAGCACATCAAGTGTCTGTTGTACACATGGGCCCAGCCCATTACGATCCTGTCACCTTGGACGAGGGAACATCTGGCCTTGGCAATCCGGCATAGCATGATTCTACGCAATGAGGACCTCTGTCATTTGAATCTCGTGGACTGCTTCATGATACAGGTCGAAAACCGAGACAGAGGATCGCAGTCAGCGTTGGCGCTCGTCTGTGCAATGCATCGCGGCAAGACCAATCGAAGCGGCCATACGCAGTACGGGTGCGCTCTAAGGCATAGCGACGTTCGCCGCTGTAGCATTGGCGCCTTTGCCTTTTACCTGTTTGATCGCTTCCATGTACGTTGAAACAGACCTTGCACGATATACCATAGTTCTTATTCCTACCTGACTAAAAGACTTAATTATGATAGAACAAGGAGGAGCCTCCGCCAGACATCAGCGACCCGGATTTCAAGGAGATCAAGGTTTTGCAAGGAACAAAAGGAACCCATGCTAGCCGTTTAGCGCCATTGTCGTATTCGGCAAGTCGCGAAACAACATTGAAGACGTTTGAGACTCAGGAACTGGAGTGCGTTCATCTCACACACTCTGGACGTCACAGCGGAACGATTGAGGCCCAGAAGCTGGGTATTCGAGCTGAGGATATCAAGCTTGGAGGCCGGTGGGTGCGTGGCAATGGCAGGATGGACCAGCACTACATGTCCAACATCCCTATCAGGTTCGCGTTTGGTATGGCGGGCTTTCGGGAAGGAAAACCCTTTCATCTCAAGAGGAACGAGGTATCGCCGCCGGTGGAGCTGCAGGAGATGATCTTCCCATTCGTCGAGACTGCATTCGGTGAACCAGGGTCTGAAGCCAACAAGAGATGAAGGGAGGAATGTCTTGATGAGATGAATGAGAGGGATGAGGATCAGCCCGACCAACTTCAAAATGTCTTGCCCCTGGATCCATCACCGTCTGAGCCAGGTAGTGCTCCTATCCATAAGGCGCACGCTGATATGAGCAAGAAACGTTTCTTCAAGATGGTCCTCCGCCTGCGACGAGTCATACTGCAGGACGCCGTGGCGTATATGCACACACATAGCAGCGCCAAGTCACCGCTTCTGGAGCATAGCCTGTTCAAATCGGAGTTGTTTCTCAAGTTCAAGGATGACCTGGCGGTTGTACTGGACCGAGAGGATGCTACCCTGCCGCCTGACCTTCCACCCATTATGGTTGAAGCTATAACGGATCAACGACAGCAGTATTCTGGCCATTACCAAGCTCTCAATGATAAGTTTCGACAAGTCCAACTTCAGTCTCAACAACAGAGGACTCAAGAGGAATCATTTCGCCTTTGGATGGCATCTCAAATGCAGCAAATGCAGCAGTATCTTTCAAGTCAACTGGCGCAGCTCTCAGTTCAAGTGCAGCAATCGAATGCCTGTGCCTGTCGTCATCCTCCGAATAGGCCCACCCCACCTTTTACTTGTTGTGCCTATGGTCCTTATGATTATGGTGAGCAGGTGCAGCAACACACAGCTTTTTACCAGGAGACATCAAGAGTGCCATGGCTTGGACCTACGATAACGATGCCGCTTCTGCAACCTACTAGTTCTGGGGCACTTATACCACCTGTAGCGCCAATTACAGTACCGATTCGACCGTCTGCTTGGGTACCGCCGCCAGCACAACCACAAGCACGACCGCAGGCACAACCAACACTAGCCCCTCATCGATCCGAAAGTGTGGCTGATGTCTCCGCTCAGGAAGTAGAATCTGAAGAACCAGGGTTCACTGTGAGCAAGAGGCCCAGGAACGCAAGGGAGATCTGGGATGAGCGTCAAAGCTTTGCAAAGTTTCAGGAGGAATATGAGCGACGAAAGGGAAGGCGCCCGAAGTTGGCTGAGAAAGACCGAAAGGCGCTCAACAATAGGTTGCGGATCGTGAAGGAAATTGAGTTCCGTGCGAAGCAAGCGCAAGCCAGGGATAGCAGTCTTAGCCTCGATGCGGCGATAGAAGGTGCGATGAAGAGCCTTGATGGTATGAGGATGAGCTGCAATATGCTTTACAAATATTACCAAGAGGAGGCGCTGAAGCGAGCGGAAGCTGTTTGAAAAGGTCTATGTAATTATATTAATTATATGTATAATAAAAATGTGCTTCTAACTGCGGTTGTAAGTGTGTAAGTGTGTAAGTGTGTATATGGTGAGTGGGAGAGAAGCATAGAGACGGATGGAAAGGCAGATGGAGAGAAGGATGAATAACTAAGAAGCGCGATCCATTCATCCATCCCACCCAGATGTGCCTGATCTTGATCTCTCGCCCACATCCGTTCAGGGTCCTAAGGTTACCCAATACTTTTCACTTTTTGTGTCCCTTCCAGATTTCCTCAGCTTTTCCGACTCTGGCACATATCAGCCATTCGCAGTGTTTGAATCCAAGAGCGCACAGGAATTTTCATATGAACCTCTGTATTTTAAACTAATGATACCGACAGAGGCCTTTGAACGTTCCAGGTATTGATTGTTACGGTTAATATCAGTGTTGTGTCTTATGCTTTTTGATGGAAGTGTCACGCTTATGCTAACTCACCGTTATTGAAATATGTGGTCCCGGTTTTGAGAGGATGAGCTATAAGGAATTTTACGAGACCTTCCATCATATCGATAAGTTTCTTGATTGCAGGAAAAGGAAAACTCAGCGAAGAAATGGGAGAAGTGCAGATGTTACGACTGAACGTAGCAGGTGTAAAAACATGCAGCAAAGAATGGTGTGTCGAAGAAACCAGAATGCTATCGTTGTTGCACGTACTACCTGATGTGATAAACTTTGCGGATACTTTTATGCATTTACTTATGCTTTATTGGTCGACACGAAAGGAAGTAACTGAGTGGTTAGCCCTCATACCGAGTACGCATCGCTCAGAGACCTTGCACTTGCAAAATTGGGGCGGGAATATATACAATTAGCGTCAGGACTGTTGTCAGGACTGACAAGTTACAGATGATGTAAAGAATGAGGTGAAAGATAGATAATAATACAAGACAAACGCTTAGTATTAGAATTTGAATGACTGCAAAAACATATTAGCTAGTAGAATTTATTATTCGGTTGGAGGTCTTGCCCTCCGTGAATAAAAGGCTCAGGTCATTACCGTGTATGGTCTTCGATTATGCTATCACTATGTGGCATGAGTAATGCTCAAAAGCAACAGTTTTTATTTTTTCTCTGTATGTACGATGGTTCTGAAAGATCTCTGCTATTAGCCGTTTGCGTTGGATTCTCTTGCTTTTATATGATGAACGTTCCTGCTACAAATGTTTGTCTACTAGCGGAGAAATGTTGTTTTATCCAAGACAATTGGATGAATATCGTTGTGAACTTTTGTGTGGTAGGCGGCAGATGTCCAGCTTTCAAGTCGCTGCTGTGCAACTTCTGTCCAATCGTCACCCTCGAGCCCCAAATATACCGGGTCTGATTGTAAACTGTCGATCTCCCAAACGTGGCCTTTGTAGGGCATTATGAGAACGATGTGATTGTCAGAAGATGTTTGGAGAGTATTGTCGCAACCATTATCGTTATCGCCGTTGATGATTGCAGTAGGTTTGTCAGTGCAGGGTTGAACGCTACGCAATATGTGTTGATGGAGGCATTGAAGAAGAAGATTTTTCTGAAGAGAACCCTACGTTATTGAAGATGAAAAAAATTATGTTAGAAATGAGTCCTCTTTAATGAGATAAGATGCCGGAATGCTGATTTACCGGCGTAATATCTGATTGAATGTCGTTCAATATGCTCTGCGTTGTGCTTGAGGGGTTTTTGTTAGCAACATAGTTGAACAATGCCATAGAGCAACAAGGTCCTGAAGTCAACTGTAATTGATATATGTAGAAACCAGGAGATTAGGTAGAGAACGCCTGATGATCAACAACTGATATTGATGTACGAGTGTTGATTATCACCTGTTGAAAGTTGATTGGTTTTATCGCCTCTCTCGGTGGTGGCATTGGTTTTGTCGGATCAGAGAACCGTCGTATTTTGTTGTCTGTGTCATACTCTGGTTCATCATATGTGTTGTCCAAGTAAAGGTAGTCGTCGCAGTATGTTTTGTACATCAAACGTCTCGTTTGTAGGCTGTTTCGGTAGCAAAGTAGATAGGCCTTGTGTGTTTGCCTCTTGACTGAATGCTGATTAGAATGGACAACGATCTTGTCCAGGAGTTTGTACGGTTCGTTAAGGTATGTGAACCATGGATTGACAAAGTCTATTGGGAGATTAGACAATTATTGATTTCATGGGGTAAAGGTTCATGATCAATGCAACTAAAAATGATTTACCTGGGTCATATAGAGCATCGTCCCATATAGGTCTTGCAGGATCGACCTCGGTATGATGCACTGTACGCTGTTCGTTTGAATAGTATATTGGATCAGTGTATTGAGTTATTAACATTATTTCAAGCACTCATTGTGAAATGGTATAGACATACCACATTGGGAATCGAATCTTGTGCAAGGTCAATCGCGCCGAATCTCTGATGAATGCCTGAGCGAACAAGGCACGCAAAACGTTTGACTAATGCTTGAAGTCCCTTTTTGGTAGCTCTCGTTGTTTCACATGAGTTGCGATGCCATGTTGTAGAATGGTGTCGCAGTCTGCTGTGGTCCAGTATGGGGTGATGTCAGCGATGGCAGTTTGGATCCGGCCTTCCTTCAATAGCTCCATGACCGATAGTAGTTTGTTGAATCCTTCTTCTTCATTGTCGAGCTGAACTGGTTGACCACCACTGATATGGCTTAACAGAAGGGATTTTGCATAGTCGCGAAGATGAGCCGTCTTATTTTCCAGGAACTTGTTAGGTGAATAGGTGCTATGGTCAGTGCACTGATGTTTAAATCCGTACTTTGAGATGCAAAGTTGAGTGAGGTTGATTATTTTTTTGATGTAGGGATACATATTTGGGATGTCGTTGTCGATATACGCTGGTCTAAGATGGTTTTCGAGAATTTGTGGTAAGTTTGGGACACACCCGTACGTTTTGTTCAGGAAACGTTTAAAGGAATTGTCTCGTTGTTCTAAAGTTGGCTTCTTTCTCATCTCGAGTATTGATCTCCATGTTTGTTCTGCAGCTATTGAAATGGTTGTATTGTTGTCCTTGATACTGCATTCCTTTTTTTGACGTTTGGCTTGTCTGCTGTTGATGGAATTGTTTGGGTCGACCGAGCGCTGCCGCTTTTTAAGAGTCATTGTTAATGGATGGTGGTTTTGAACGGTTATAAAATGCAGTGGCAATGTCAAAGGGTGAGGGAGTGAATAGATGATTTGAAATGGAAAAAGGGCGTGGGTCTGGTCACGTGAAGAAGATCTCAGCATCGCAAATGATATACAAAATATATTTTATCGCAAATCATATACAGTTTTGTAGATGACTTCCATTTTTGTCCAGGAGTATGAGATCAAAGACAACCTCAGCAGGTGCAAACGGTCTGATCAGGTGGAAGTGAATCTAGGGTGGAAAGGGACCTTATTCGTATGAATGCTGCTGTCTAGTTCTACGCGTGGATGGAGTTTATAGATACTGGCTGGATAGATAGCAACAGTGTTCTAGAAAGTCGTAGAAAGATGGGCGAAGCACTGATGACATCATAATCCACTTAACCGAGCATAAACCTATTGCAGCAGGGTAGGTGATTACCATGCTAATATATGTTCCAGTGGGGCAGTAGTCCTGCAGTTGTGGTAGTTGCTGTTGATCGGATTGGACACTTGTTGCCGGTTCATCTTGACGCTGTTTTTGTTGCATTTTCTGCTCCTTTTCCATCTTCTCTTGTATGGCGTGACTGCTGACAGTTCCAGGCGCTTTCTCGACATCGCTGCGCTCAAGAACTTGTCGAACTTCAATTGGACAAAGCAAGGGTACATGCTGCCGTTGATCTTGACAAAAAATATGACGTCGGGTCCGGAGACATGAGGTGCTGGGAAATAGAATGGAGGGATATCCTGATCGCCCTGCTTGGAGTTGTGCTCGACGTGCGCCTTCATAAAATTCTGTGTCGTGATGTTTCTGTGCGATATGGCGAGTTTTGGTTGCTGTTCGTCGTATCCAACAATCGTCACATCCCCGACGAGCTGCTCGGGAAGAGAATTCTTGGTCAACAAAGGCCACGAGGACAGCGGTCGACTTCTAAACGTCTCAACAAAGACAGGTGGTATCATCGTTTCCTACATGTTTCCGTGTACTGAAGCGTTGTTGGAGTGTAGCATCGTCCGTTCCGCTGCAGATATGAGTGATGGATCCTTTTCCCGAAAATAATTGTGGGTGGCCTTCAGGGCAACGACTCCATCGAGAACTGCTCTTGCTGCACCTCCGAAGATCTTGATGCGACCGAACGCTGCTTCCATCAATTGCATTTCATTTTTAAGCACAGTCTCAGACGCGTCCAGTAAACAGTTGCGGAAAAGAAAGAGACCAAGAGCTTCTCTGATGGAGGAGCATGAGGCGAAAAGCTCGGAATGCTCGGAGATCTTGCTTTTTAAGCTACAAAGAGTGTCGTAAATAGAATGGGGATTATTTAGCAGATTACTTCCATTTGTGGATCTTAGAAGCCGATGTGGTAACGAATGATGCGTTTGGGTAAGAGAAGTAATATATGATAGTATGGAAGACAATTTGTTCTTCATGGCCGCTGACCGTTGCAAGAACTTACTCGGCGTCAGTAGTCTGAAAAATCTGTCACGTCATCTATGTTGTGTCAGCCAGTTTATTGCATTCTGCGATTTAGTCTACGAAAACAGCACTATATCGCAAGCAGAGGAAAATTCTTGAGCTTCTCATACAAGCCCAGCTGCTCGAGGGCAGGCAGGATGTTCGCGTCGAGTGCCATGATACCACCTGTTGGATCTACTGGCGATATTCACGGGGGATGTTTTCCTTCCAAGGATATTTCTCGCTTTTCATATCTTCCAAAACGCCGATTCCACCTAGTTGAGTACAAACCTGTTATTTTCTAGATCTTGATATGAGATGAATCCAGCAGTCCTCTCGCGGCCTCTCGCAATATTTTCACTCCGTACCGGAGCTTGCACGCACCATCGAAGCTGTTCGACGTCTGGAACTCTGCCATGGTCCTCTTCGAAAAGTTGAGTCCTCTTTCGATCAGAATGCAGTTTGCAGTCGTGTAGCTGCCATCATTGAAGACACGACACCACACTGTGCGATTGGCTGGCCTGTCACGAGAGATCGACCCTGGCACGTCTCCAGGAAAAAGCGCCACTCGAACTTGCTCCAGACGACGCGGTCCCTGTGCACCTTCGAATTGACGAACTTGCGCCACCTCTGCTCCCACTCCGCGGTCCAGGGCTTTTTCTCCTTCTCGGCATCGAATCCGTCTCGTAGCTCCTCAATGATATGATCCGTCCACTGGACCCCATCCTCCCACCCTTGCTCAATATTCTTCAGATATTGAATGCGTTGATCAACGGTTCGATCCATGAAAAAGCTATTATCGATGGGAAGCAACATACACGCTAGTTGCTTGAACGTAAATACCGGAGCTACTTCACTTTCCGCACGGCACTTACCAGTTCGAAAAGTGCGAAGCGGCCACCAGGACCTAGTCCTCTGCTCCATACATGAGAGCCTCTCCTTGATCAAACATCGTCGATCGACAGAGAATTTTCTTCTAGGACAGTTGATCACGGTGAGTGAAAGCTGTGTGCCTGTCCAGAAGCACACGGGACTTGCTTCCCTAGCCATGTTGCGCAGGAAAAACACTTCCCGAGAGGCATACATCGCTGGCCCTGAAGAGAAGCCTTGCACAGCCATTGTCATGACCGTGCCGAGCGCTGAGTCCCGGGAAGCAAACTGGGCTTGATCCTTGTGGTCACTGATCCATTTCGAGAACTTGAGTATCTATCGGGTTGGCGTGGGCTTTAGAATTGCAGTCCTTCGTGCATGCATGGCAGTATGCGTAGAACTTGATAGGGATGTTGGCCGACTGTCCCCTCACGAGTCTCCCGTTTGTCCGATTCAGCTTTATGGAGCAATCCGCGCAGAAGGTGTTTTAGCGCAAGCTGATATTTAGCTGTCAGGGGCGAGCTGCTGGAGCAGGCCTGGAAGCAGGTCTCCTTCAATCTGATACGCTCGTCTGGCCGCATCCTCGTGCTATCATTTATACCATCGACCTTTTTGTCAGCCACATCCTTTCGGCAGAACAGCACTCTGGGGCTCCCGTGCATGAGGTAGTGCCGTGTCAAGCCTGTCTTTGACCACGCATTTACTGCAGAGGCCACTATCGTGAAAGTACAACCGACCACGCGAGTCTCGAAGAGCCACGTTCCTCCATGTCATCAAAGCTGTACATCCGTCTCCATCGCAGAGTTTCCCTTGCGGAGCATCGAGTCGATCTTATATTCGTGACTGATGACATGCTTGTAGTTGCTCTCTTGCATCGTGCTGAATAGAGAAAAGTCGTCAAGCCATGCCAAAGGCATTGCAGGCTTGCCTTCGACCTATCCCATTGCAAGGACTGTACTGCATAACCATCTTCTCCTTGTCCAGCGTCGTCAAGTGTTCTAGAAATTTAGCTCCTTTGCATACTTGTACCATGCCATTTGCTAGATAGGAGCCCTCGGGAAAGAGCATATCCTCGGCATGAAGCAGGGCAGGGACACCTTCAACCAAAGACTCTTTATGCAGGACGGTTATCGTGAATGCTATCAAACGGGAGATTGGTATTAATATACCATGTGCCCTTTCTATGCATTAAAGTTGCTGCTGGACGTTCTATTACCGTTCGGAGCTTCGGCGATCGGTGAAGGAGGCGGAACGCCACTATACCTGGTCTCAGTGGCGTCGTCCCCTGAGTTAGACTCCTGCGGTGTGCTGCTTTGTTGATGGCTCTTGACGTGCTTCCCGATGTCCTCTTTCCTAGAATAGGGTCGACCGCAGCCTGGGCGCGAGCATTTGTATGCTCTGTGCGAGCTTAAATGGATTTCAAGGGCGGCTTTGTCGGTAAACACCTGACGGCAGTCCTCGATCCGACATAGATGTTTGGAATGCTGTTGCCTCATATGGGTCGTGAGGCATCCTTGTGTGAGGTAGGTATTACTGCAGTTCTCTTCGATGCAGTCAAATTGCCGCCGAGATTCTGCATGTGCGGTACGTATATGCCTTTGTAAGGCGCACTTTGTAGCATAAGACTTCGGACAGGTCGCCTCGCTGCATGGGATTCTTTCCTTCGGCATCCTGAAGTCGACAGAGTTGTATATGAGCGTAGAAGGGTTGAGATACGAATAGCAGAAAAGGTAAGAGGAATATTTGATTATTAAAGAGAGAGAGAGAGAGACGAAATAGCGCCAGAAAGAAGTAAAGGAATGTGAGGAGAAAAGGAGGAAAGGAGGAAGGGCAGAGTTTATCTCGATTGTTAAGAATTGCAAATTGGTGGCAAATTTGCCTGCTTTTCCTCATGGCAAAGCAGCATTCGTCTCTAAATTTATTGATGCCAAAACTGGCTGGAACAATTAAGCTTGAAGCAAAGCTTACGCGCATGCTAAAGCCTCCACCGAAAGTCTTCCAAAAGTGTTTGCTGGCGGAATATAGCGAGGCTAAAGGGAGGACTGAGGGTGAACTGGCAACGATCAATTTTTATTTCACCGGTTGAGTTCTCCGCATAGGTTTCCTCGACGGGCTTGATCCTTCCAAGCTGTAATCATGACCTCGGTATTGTTAATTGCGGTTTCCCATTCTTTTGGATTCCCAGTCTTGATAATTCCCTCGATCGCTGTGACGATTGGGCGGAATCGACCGGTAAGCCTTTCGTGTAGTATGTCGACCGCAGCCGGAGGGATTAGAGTGTCCATCATTCTTTTCGGCTCGTCATCTGGTAGTTTCTCCTTCATCCGATCGATATAGGACTGCACCGAATCTGGACCGGTCCGCCCTAGAAACTCGACATGCGGAAAGATGTTCGAGCTATATTCCTTGACGCCGTCGCCGCTGCTCAGCGCCCAATGGAGAGTTTGGATGCTCAATCCTGTCCCGCAGCAGATGATAGTAAGCTCTCCTCGACCACCAAGACTTCGAAACCCATTCAACACGGGGGACAACATCGGACGTAGATCATCTTGTGTTGATGATGACACAAATGACGTATTACCCCGATCGCTGAGAATCTGGGCTTCGTCCACGACCAGTCGTAATTTGGTGTTTGCTGAGAAATTGGGATAGTTGCGGGCAGCAAGACTCTCTTGTACTGAGAGGAACCCATCTCGAACCACGCCAATCAGCACCAATTTGGAATGCACACGTTCATGCAGCTTTTTCAAAAAGGACCCTGAAAAGCTTTGAGAAGATGTCCTGGAACATTTGAGGTCAGACTTAGAGTACGGCCCAACTTGCGCTCGAAAACATTTGGCGGCAATTGGGGATCTGCAGACAGTATGTGAGGACCAGGAGTCGGGAGAAGAAGAGCACAAGGGTTGCGTTCCTTGCGAAGACAGTGTTGAGTCTAGGATCTTGTTCCTCCAAGGTTTTTTTGTCAATTAACTCAGTAAGGTGGCTGAGGTCGTCTGATCCAGGATCGTTCTTTGACGCGTTGAAGTAGAATCCCCACTGTAGACAGAGCAGCTCAATCATGGACCGAGTCTTGCCGCATCCACTATGGATATCAGGAAGCATAAGTTAGACCAGGGAAGAGCAATAATATAGATAGGTACAGTAACTATTCAAAGCTATGCGTTGCAATGAGAACCTAACCTGACGCCGAATACTGGAAGATCTTGTGCTTGCACGCCTTCCAGCTTGCTCAACAGAATAGAATGTTCGACTGAAGCCGCTCAGGAACAGGATCGCCCGCGCTTGACGGAGGATCTGGTAGATCCAAAAAAAGAAGATTGGGGCCTACATCCTGTGTATCGACGATGCACGCCTCGCGACCTTCGGAAGGCCACACACCTGACGTAGTGACTGGCAACTTGAACTCTCCTCGAACGTACGTGTCGAGAAATAGACAAGCAGGGAATCCAGGGGCGAAGAACCGGTCTGCGATTTTTTTGATGTCCGAACGAAGGTCGCCTAGTTCATGAGGAAGAAGAGGGCATGAGCACAAGATTGTTCGTTACGACGGAAACTAAAAGCGACATTATTGCGATGCACTTACCCGACAGCGGCGTGCTAGGACGAGAATCATCCGAGGGATGGCCGGGGAGCGGAGTAGATGCCCGAGCAAGGACAGGTGCATGGATTATGTCGGAGCAGTAAAGAGTGTGAAATAAGGTTAGCACATGGACAAGCTCATGCGCGCGGTCAATGAAAGCAAAAGCGCGACGACATTACCTGGCGGGGGTCGCTGGACGATGATGTGGATTGTTTTCTTCGCGGCTTTTCTTCAAAGACATCAGAAATGTCGTCTGTTGGTTCGAGTTCCGGTGCTGTCTCGTATTCTTTCAGGACTATCGGCTTGTGCTTGTTGGCCGGGACAAGTGGGATCGAGACGCGCCAAAGGGTGAGCATGTCTGCATCGACATCGGCGAAGGCGTTTTTTTTTCGTTTTTGATTTTATCTTTAAGCTGGCCGAAGGTCTTGGTAGACTCAATCTCGACAGGGATTGTGGTCGATTCACCGTCCACCACACAGCACAGTATCAGTTCGTTGACTGGCATGGTGTCATGTAGCATGAAGAATGATGTGACGAGTGAAAAGGTAGAAAGGATGACGAGGGTGAAAAATGGGTGGATGAAGGATGTCAAAGGGAAGAACAAAGGCGTTGTGGAGACAATAAATGGGAAGATGGAAAGAAGAGCGTGGGAACGGTGACAATGGCGATGAAAGACAGGGAACGAAAGTAGAAGAAAGGAAGAGATGAAAAATTGTGAGAGTGATGACAGACAAAAAAAACAGGGCGGGATGGTGGTGGCAGAAGCTCTGAACCCAGCCACCTCGTCTGTGCAATTCTTGCTGACGAGGGGCTGGGACAAAATCTCCCCCTCTACTATGGGGTCTCCCTTCCCGTCGTACTTCCTTTTTTGGACGAGATTCCTTTTTGGGAAGAAGGCTGCCAGCGGCCTCAGACCAACGCGCTCCTCGCTTCCTCTCCGCTCCTTCGCTCCTTCACGTCTTCCATAAAGTCGTCTCTTACATCGAATCCACCCTGCTTCACTCTCAAGTTAGGCGTCAACATGTCAAATAAAAGGCAGCTCAGGTACAGATGCGCATCTCAAGCACGTATTCATTTCCTGGCACGCGTTCATCAGCAGCATCCGAGCATCCGAGCATCCGAGCATCTGAGCATCCGCTGTTCAGTTTATCTCATCTCTTTCTCGCTCTCTTCTTCATTCTCTTGTACAAAAATAATAAAAAACGCTCGGGGTGGATTCTGCTATAGCGACATTCCGCCATACAAAGGGACTCCGGCCACGCCAAGTAAACGCGCTTCCGGGGCTTCCAGGGTAAGACACAGTTTGATATAGTGCTCGGCGAGTCTTTGTTGTTGTGTTTGTCACGTTTCTTGCTGGTTTCCGACACGGTACAGCTTCAAGGCATAGGCGAGTTCGGCGTCCTCAACTTCAACAAACCTGATGTACAATCCCCAGGAGGTGCCAACCAAGTGAGTGAATATCAGTCACTGGTATGAACGCGATGTTTTGTTTCCAAGCACATTTCCAATCGTCTCTTGGCGCTTTGCATTTGCTCCGCATAGAATACTCCGAGAAAAATCGCTGATGCTCTTCTTTCGTTGGGTGGAGCCCGTTCTCCTCTGGAGGGATCGACTTCCTCCTGGGTCTCCACAACATTCAACGCCGCAGAAGACGCCGCGAAGATGCCAACAGGCCCAAGTATCTCGATACGCGAGTTTGTCCATACATCGCATGAGACGTTTGGTTCGCCAACACCTAAGAGCGTAAGAAGTCGATCCCATTCCCTCGTATTTAGGCCAGGTCAATGTGTATGTGCTTTGGACAGACATCTAACCTGCTGTGTATACTCAGAATAGACGCGCAGTGCTTGGGCAGCTGAAAGTGAGCAAAAGCACCTCGGCGATCGAGGTAGGCGAGCCATGCGCATGATATTGTTAACTGCCAAGATTTATATTACCGCCAAGAAATATGTACTAACGTTCATGTCATCTCAGGTGCCAGATTCACCTTCAGTAGGAAGCTACACAACTGGGCTAAATGGTCAGACGCCAACCTCGACTCGCAAGAGGCCTGTAAGTAGACCAGTTTTACAAGCACACGCATTATGTCCGCATCGATTTCCTATCTAAATTTATTAAAATCTGAATATATATTCCAGTCCACTATTCCACAGAAACTACTTAGAATTTTGCACTGCATCACGGAAGAAAATATGACTCTTCCCACCTTTTTGGAAGAGTTGTTCAAGTCCGATGATGCAGATGTCGCACAGTGGACTGGGGTATTCCACGAAAGCAAGGGTGCTGAGCGAGTTCTCAAGATCTGGGACAGCAAGCTGCAAGGCGGCAAGTGGGAAGAGGATTTTGTCAACAGTGCTGTCGATGTCGTCGTCAACCGAACTTTAAAGCATCTTAGAAACGACGAGGTCAGAAAAGACTGGCGGCTACCACACACGAAGGTGACTGGGCAGAAGATCGCAGGTTTTTTAGTCGATGATTTTCGCTTTCTTCATCGGTACGCCGAAGGCGCCAAGTATTTGACACGGTTCTTGAAGGGTCTCCTCGAGGAAGATATTTCTGATCAGAAGCTCTCGCGCAAGTCACGCAAGCGTCGCGGGGCTCAAAAGCCTACGTCTGTTCGGGGATGCATCGCGGCGATGCTGATATTCATGTCGTCGCAAAAGGTCAACGCCTTCCAGACCATCATGGGGCTCTTTCTCCATTGCACAGGATGTCCAAAGAGAGTACTCGAGGTCCTCTCTGGGCTCGGGCTTTCGATCTCCTACAGCCAAGTCCAGAACGGGCTGCGATCGTTGACCAAGGACGCTCGGGAGCAAGTCAAGGAAGCGGTGGAGAAGTTTGATTGGTACATCGTGTACGACAACCTCAACATCGCTAATAAGCACCACAACCAAAGGTTTGACAAACGCGATACTTTCGACAATGGTACCGCCGCCACCGTCATTCTCTTCCCCTCCGACAAGGACCAGCCTTCCACTGCACCACCTGCTCTCTTTCGCCCGGAGGATGAGAGGCCGAACCCCGTTGCTGCCTTGTTCCTTCCCAATGAATTCGACTCGGAGGTGTTTCGACAGGTCAGCCGATCACACGTGTCCAATGCTATTGTGCGATCATCGCCGGAGGGATCCACTGCCGTTGCTATTCCAGTTATGCCTATCAAAAAGCTCAATGTCAACAAGACTGCTCTGTTCCCGCTGCAGACCATGAGGCTCGACGAATCGACCATTGCCGGCAATTTGGCGGTGCTGGAAAGAATCACGCAGGTCGGCCTTCAATTGCCGAAAAGCTGGTTTGCACATCCCAAAAACACCATCGTTGCCGGTGACCAGATGACTGTGTCCAGGTTGCTGACTCTCAAGATTCACCGCATTGTCGATACCGATCCTTACCACAGCCTTGCATGGGTACACCCGACCCTTCAGCTCTTCCACCTTGGTATGAACTTGTGCGGCACCATCTTCAGGACACATTTTGGCTCCCCACTATTCCCAGGTACTCTTGCCTCGATCATTATTTTGCTGGACCGCAAGCGCTTGAGCAAGGAGAAGCAGGAGTTTAAAGCCGCGGACGAGTTGCTGAGGATTGTCTTTGACGCGATGGTGCAGTCGCTCTGCGAGTCCCTGCGGGAAGGTGGTGCATCAGACGAGCTTGATATTCCGAAATTCACAGAAACCATCACCAACTCCTTCTGTGGTTTGCCTTCGCCGTCGCTCTTTGATCTGCCCTGTACTACCGTCAACATCAACGCCCTTCTTTTCTTGCGCGATGTAGCGGTGCACATCGAGTTAACCGAGGCCATCAAAGCCGGCGACATTGGTCGCATCAGTCACCTGCTGCCGATCATTACTTTGATGATGCATGGAGGAGGCAACACGAACTATGCGCTTGAACTGCTGCGTCTCCTCTATGGTTTTCGCCATCTGTGGACGGATGAGTGGGCGACAAGGGTCCTCTCTAGCATGCTTGTCAACCCCAAAGGCGTTGAAGGCGGATGGATGGCGACCGACATGCTTCAAGAGAATCATAACTATCTCATCAAATCCATCTTTTCATCGAAAGGATCCAACATGACCTGGGAATATCTCAGGGATGCAATTTCCACCAACATCAGAACTTTTCAGGCCATTTCGTGGATGTTCGAGCGAGAGGTCGGAGTTGGCTCCAACAGCACTAAGCACAAGAAACCATCCACTGCATCGGAGATCTCCAAGATTCAGAGGTACTTCCGACACAGCGGCATTTTATGCAAGTCCGGCCAATGCAATCAAGGGAACCCGGTGGTCGATCTTCAGGGGCTTGGTGGAGACAAGATGGTCGGGGGATCGATTGTACGATTTTTAGATAGGCACCAGATGGAGAATGCTGTGGATGTAGAAGAGACAGAAGCTCTCGAACATATGATAGATTAAGTATAAAAATATTTGTTTTATTTTCTCTCCGTTTAACTACTCTGTGTGAAAAATGATTGAAATGAACAAAGAGAACGGGAGAACGAGAGAACGATGGTTGTAGAGTAAGATGGATAGAAAGAAAGCGGTGATTCCTCGGGTTAGGTGGACGACCGATCCTTCCAGTACGGCAATCTCAATCTGCGGAGGCGGTTGGTCGCCGAGAGGTTGCTGATCAATCACACATACGGCCGCCAATGAATCCGATTATAATTCTGGTAAGTTCTCTTCGCCATCACTTCCATCCCCATCGTTGTCGCTTCTCTCCCCATCGCCGTCGGAGCCGTTCTCTGACTGGTATGGCACAGATGCCGCCGTCGTCTGGCTGCCTGATCCGCGGCGAGCATCGATCTCGTTGTTGAGCTTGTCCAGGACCTGCGCGACCTCGCCATACAAATTCCCTCCAAGAGGCGCCCAATTGCAGGAGGAAGCGATGGCCTCGACTGCCGTAGCAGTTCTGGCCCCAGAGAATTTTTGCGACAGCTGTTTGGCCACATTATCCGGCAGGATCCACGTTTCTCTACCCATCCTGAAAGGTCTACTGCTCACCCATCTCTCGTACGCCTCCTTTCTCCACGCTTGGAGTCTCTCCAAGGCCATGTGTCTCTCTTCCTCCGAACGGCTCGGCCATCTCCTTCTGTTGCTCGATCTGGTATCATGACGAATAGTGGTGGGAACGGGACGATCAACCCTGAAGCATCCAGAACAGCTGTTGTTGCAAGTACGAGCGTCATTCTCAAACAATTTGTCTATTATTTTCCAAAGACACCCTCCTGCTTGGTTCATAAGGTACTCGCGCACGTTTTTGTCTGAGGGGGAAGTTTTGCTGATCGGTGGTGCATAGAGGATTCCAAAGCCTTGGATCTTGGGATCTCGTGCTGCTCGTCCAAATCGCTGAACCAAGCTCGGTATATCCCTTGGAAAGCTACATGGTACAAAAAAATGTCAAGACATTTTAGGTCAGGGCATTCGTTCCCTAGTGATCGCTCTATTTTCATATATTTTTTGTGTATATCACTCACCCGTACTGAATAACTTGAATCACATCGGATATGTCACAACCCATGCCTGCAGCCTCGGTAGCCAGCAGGACATGGATGTCACCCTCCATGAACTTGCTCATGGTTGCCTCCTTGTATTGGGATGTTAAGGTGGAGAAGTAAACACCCAGCCTATCCCGTAGATCGGGTCTCTCGCTCGTTAGATATTTAAAGACATCCATGAGAAGAGAGATTTTTTCGAAGTAAATAATCGTCTTGTCTTTGCCTAGCAGACGATTGAGACCCTTCTTGGCATCCTTGGGCTGAGTGTAAACCTCGAGACGAACATTTGTGGGAATCTCTTGCACACGAAGAACGTTGGCCTTGGACAGGAAGAGTTTGTCCATGGTTTGAGTGAGCGCATCGGCAGTGAGTGTCGCGGTGACACCCACAAACGGAACTCCAGGCGACCAAATGCAAAGCTCACCGAGGCGAGCATATTCCGGGCGAAACTTGTTGCCCCATTTTTCAACACAATGGACCTCGTCTACCACTATGGCAAGCAACAGGTTCCGCCAGCGCGTATTTTGCCAAAGCCCTCGTACCAACCTCGAAGTAGGGCTGTCGCCAAAAATAATCTCGGGCGACATAAAGACTGCTCTGAACTCGCCTTCACATATGCGTCTAATCATGTCGCCATTAATGGCATCAGAGTTGTCGCCGGAGAGAACGATGTGAGGTATTTTGGCGTTGACCAGCTTCTGTACGATTGAATGGCAAAGCACAAAGATAAAAGGCGGTTAAAATTGACACTATTGCTTCTGGTTGTATACTACATGGAAGGGTCCAGTTATGAACTACCTGCTGCTGATCGTTCATCAAAGCTATCAGTGGCGAGATGATAGCAGTGATACTGCGAGGCCAGTATGCCATAGGAAGAAAGAATGCGAGTGTTTTACCCCAGCCGCAGGGAGCAATCAACACACAGTCGGATTTTTGCGCTATGTGTTTCAACACCTCTAGTTGCTGCTCTTTTGGAGTACAGTTGAAAACTTCTCGACAAAGGCTAATGGCTTTTGATCTGGAAAAAAGTTGGGGGCCCTAAAAGATGCACAAGATTACGCATGCAAAATGTTAACAAAAAGACTGAATAGCAAGGCAAAAGTGACTGAATCAATCTTCAAAAAACACTTGCCACATCATCACTATCCTCGTTTTCTTTGTCTGGCAATGGTATAAGTCTCTCTAGCACAGCTTGTGATGGCGACGAAAGGAACTGCATAGGCGAGGGGATAGGCTGAGTCGGCGTTGCGACGGAGTGTATTGGCGTTGCGTCAGATTTTTTTGGCGAGAAGGCAGGCTTTGTTGGCGACGTGTATGGCGAGAAGTCAGAATCTTCAGATGAAGAGTCAATGCGTGCTGGCGATAAAACATTCCGTGCATGAGATAAGAGAGCTTGTGCTGTCGACAATATAAATGATGTTGGGGAATTAGGAGACTGTTCAGGCGAGTCGATAGACAGATTTGGAATGAATGCGGAGCGAATTCGGATTGGTGTCTCCTGCCCTGGCTGAGAAGGTTGCGCGGGCGCCCAGAAAGGGTTCGCGGCGTCTTCTGCGGCGTTGAATGTTGTGGAGACCCAGGAGGAAGTCGATCCCTCCAGAGGAGAACGGGCTCCACCCAACGAAAGAAGAGCATCAGCGATTTTTCTCGGAGTATTCTATGCGGAGCAAATGCAAAGCGCCAAGAGACGATTGGAAATGTGCTTGGAAACAAAACATCGCGTTCATACCAGTGACTGATATTCACTCACTTGGTTGGCACCTCCTGGGGATTGTACATCAGGTTTGTTGAAGTTGAGGACGCCGAACTCGCCTATGCCTTGAAGCTGTACCGTGTCGGAAACCAGCAAGAAACGTGACAAACACAACAACAAAGACTCGCCGAGCACTATATCAAACTGTGTCTTACCCTGGAAGCCCCGGAAGCGCGTTTACTTGGCGTGGCCGGAGTCCCTTTGTATGGCGGAATGTCGCTATAGCAGAATCCACCCCGAGCGTTTTTTATTATTTTTGTACAAGAGAATGAAGAAGAGAGCGAGAAAGAGATGAGATAAACTGAACAGCGGATGCTCAGATGCTCGGATGCTCGGATGCTCGGATGCTGCTGATGAACGCGTGCCAGGAAATGAATACGTGCTTGAGATGCGCATCTGTACCTGAGCTGCCTTTTATTTGACATGTTGACGCCTAACTTGAGAGTGAAGCAGGGTGGATTCGATGTAAGAGACGACTTTATGGAAGACGTGAAGGAGCGAAGGAGCGGAGAGGAAGCGAGGAGCACGTTGGTCTGAGGCCGCTGGCAGCCTTCTTCCCAAAAAGGAATCTCGTCCAAAAAAGGAAGTACGACGGGAAGGGAGACCCCTATGTTTTTGGCTTTCCAGTCCTGTTGGAAAAATTTCCAAACTCCTATGGTTGGAAATCCAAGGCAATCTTCCCACTATAGTGTAACTAACAAACATCCTTTCCAACCTTGTGACAATAGAGAGGCTTGATTGGATGAAGGCAGTGCCTGTTTTGTTTTATTCTCTTTCACTTTCACTTTGTGCTTCTCTTCCTCTTCTTTTTTCATTTTTGCTCTTCTTTTATATCTCATCCTCATCTACTCTCCTTCCTCCACCTTCCCCTTTGTCCATTTTCTTTCGCCTTTGCCCTCTCCCACTCAATCCTTAAAGAGGACGCTCCACAGACTGTCTTCTTCGCTTTTTGGTTCCAACAATATGAACCCATTAAAAGTTCAGTGGGTTTACGTCCATCCTTCAGTAGAAAAAAGTGGTGCTAAGCGCTCACGAAAGCGACAGGGCTCTGTTGTAAGTGAGAGTCAGAGAATCGATGATCAGCATAGAAAGCAATATAAACCCTCTAGGATCCCAGGACCAGGAGGGTCTGCTGAAGGTACAACGCTCAAGGTTCACAAATGCACGCAAGCTATCGAGTAATCTTCATTCTCACTCTCCACTCTCCATTCTCACCTTCAACTTCTTCTGCTAATAATACCCCCCGCTCACAGGGGAGCTGTCGACTATCAAAGATCAATTGATAATGGAGCCGCCTCTGGACATGGACATTTATGACAATGAAAATGAAGGCGAAGGCGAAGATCCCACTATGAACTCTGTGTCGGAAGAGAGACTCGCTGAAGATGTCGACCTGGACTCGGAGTGTGATACTGGCAGGGATGGCAGTGGTGGCCTTATGGATAGACGACCGGTGGCAGCAAGAGAGCTGGCTAAGAAAGGTTTGTAGATATCCCTGATATTACAGGGGACAGGCTTGACTGGTCTTGACAACAGAAGAGACTCAGTAGCCTTCTGTTTGTAATGACTCTGATTCTTCGGCACTCTGGCATCATAGAAAAATTCGACAAGTTTGTGCGCTCCCTCGTTCTAACCAAAGAGTTGGAAAGCACCTTCGTTAATCCTCCTGGGGTCATCCAATCTGAAGCTTCCCGATCAGTTCGACAACAGGAGTTAGAGACAACTGCCAAGAATGAGAAGGGGAAACCACTTGCAGTAAATACTATGGATATGTACATGCTGCCCTTGGGATTGTACAAGGTGAGTCTGACAGTTACAGGCGATACTACTTTAAAGGATTGTAAGAGCAAGAAGAAGAACGAAGGATACAAACACACAATAAACCGGCCATCAAACGGATAATAATAGAAATTCTGCGATGACAACTACTCAGACGAGGGGGCACTTCGCTATGATGTGACCCCAGGCAAGGCCATCCTCTTCTTTGAGAAGGTCATGTTCTGTCGCACGTCCAAGAGATACTTTTACAAAAAACAGTTCAAAGACATTAGGACGACAATCTGTCTTCCACCAGGCTTTGAAGGCCACATTCACAAAAATCGAGTCGATCTCGCAGAGGGTAATGTGTCTGAGCCATTCCACGTAGTGACACCTTTTTTTGATTGTCGGCCTGTTATGCTTTGCAACAAGATTAGAGCAATTGACATTTCACACTACTATTACTCATTCATCTAGTCTTGAGGGAGGTCAAGGAAGATGGGAAAGGAAGGAAGGCGGTAGTTGTGCCTTGTGGCCAAAAAACTATGGACATGGCGCTGTGTGCGCTCACCTATCTCCAGAAGCGACAAGCAAACCGGTTTACATCTCCAAACAACTCAAAGGAACTTCGGAGCGTCACACAACTACAAAATGCGATTGATCACTACTGCCAAAACTTGATTGTTGGCGTATTGCAGCATGAGAAAGACCTCTCGTCAGACTGCATGATACGAAACAGCTACACGGAAGAGGAACATTTAAGAGCATTGCTCGATACGTGGGGTCAGCCACTTGACACACAGGCTCCATGGATAAGGGAACACTTTGCTCTCGCAATCCGACATGCAATGCTATTAAGGGACGAAGACTTGAGGAGGCTTAATTTGTCGGATTGTTTTGTGGATTTGGCTCCGAACCGCCTAGGAGGCACACAGGCTGTGGCGATGTTGGTTTTTGCGATTCATCGCGGAAAGACGAACCAGATGGGCAAAACGCTCCACGGAGCTGCAATTCGTCACGAGGATGTGCGCCGCTGCAGTGTAGGGGCGTTTGCATTCTACATGTTCGATCGGTTCCAGGTGCGCTTTTTTTTGTTGTTGTTGTTGTTGTTGTTTGGGCCAAATATGGATACTCAACATAACATCATCCACTTGGATACATAGAACAAGGGAGAGCCTCCACCAAATCTAAATGACCGCAACTGGCTCCAGTTCAAAGTTTTACGAGGAACCAACCTTGACCCTACAACTCCAATCACTTATGCCACTACTAGGGAGTCTACATTGAGGACATTCGAGCGACAAGAACTCTCATGTGCCTACATTACACATTCTGGTCGACATAGTGGCTCGATGGAGGGTCAAAGGTTGCAAATCCCTTTGGAAGATATCAGGAGAGCTGAACGATGGGTACATGGCAATGGAAAGCTGGAGAATTACTACCTCAACGAGTATCCGTGGAATTTTGCGTTTGCCATAGCAGGCTTCAAGGAGAGGCCGTTTCATTTGAAGAGGAACGAGGTATCGCCGCCCTTGGATCTTCAGAGAAAAGTCTTCCCTTTTATCGAAAGCTCATTCGATAACGACAAAGGGATGGACCAAGCATGGCGAAAGGAGTGCGATATGGAGATGATGGAGTACAATCCCAATGAGAAAAGTCAGCTTCGCGACATCAAGCCTCGGATTCCTATGTCTAGCACATACGAGAAAGCACCTGTTCATTTTTCCGATTCTATGAGGGCCAAGAAGTGCTACCTACGGATGCTTCTTCGTACGCGACGAATTATCTTGCAGGATGCAGCCGAGTACTTGTGTGAGTATTCGTATCTGCAATCGCCTTTGTTAAAGAACAAAATTTTCCAGACACAAGAATTTCAAGAATTCAAGGGTCTTGTCAAGGAGAGACTGCAGATCAAAGAGCGATCAATGCCTGACGGCATTTCCCCAAAGGTCCTACAACTGTTCGCAAATCAACGAGAAGAAAGCAAAGAGGAAAAATCCCGGCTAGAAAGGGTTATTACAGCCTTGATGGAAGAGCGGCGAGAAATGCGGCAAGAGATGCAGCGAGACCGTGCACAGCTGACTCACTTGACGGCACTGCTTACCGCCAGACCGATGTCGCTACCCATACCAGCAGCACAGTGGACAACAGGAGCATTGTGGTCGCCAGGCCTTACTTACCCTCATACACACATCCCGCATACTACCCGCCGCCAGTATCGGAGTCTCCCAACTCTTGCAATAATTGTTCATCAGCATCAGCACTGCACACTATGCCTGCAAGAGCTACTGCAAAGTCGATGACAGCAGGGCCTGCTCCACCATCATTCTCAACAAGGACACCTGCCGTGTTGCCAACAAGGGGGTATGCCGAAATCGCCCCACGCCCAAAGCAAGGCGCTCCAGACCCAGATAAGGCTGAAGAGTTCTTTGAAATCAGTTACTATCTTGAATCTGCAGGGGACGTCTACGAGGAGTACACAAGGTACCGGACATATCGCGCCAGTCAGAAAAGGCAGGGCAAAGCCGAGGATATCCTGCCGAAAACGAGAAAGCAATTGAGCAATAGGAAATTCATCGTCATGGAGGTCGAACATATTCAACAACAAGGAATCCAAAAAGGGCTGACCAACAAACAAGCACTTACTGAGGCATTCGCCCAGTTAACGCGCTCAATGTCTGAGACGTATGGTGGAAAGAAGCTGAGCATCAATAAGATGGTCGAGTATTGTCGCAAGAGGGTGAAAGGAAGAGAGAATGGAAACAATGAAAATAGGGAACACGACGCCCAAGACGTCCAAGAAGAAGAAGAAGAAGAAGAAGAAGAGGAGGAGGAGGAGGAGGAGGAGGAGGAGGAAGAGGAGCAGCTGAGAAGAAAGAGGCACTGAAATGGTGTAATAAATTTTCCCTTGCGTTAAGAAGCTCGAGAGCAAGTAAACATGGATTATTTTTTTTTTTCCCTCTTTTTTTTTTCTGCGTGTATTATGTGTGTAGGCAAGGTTCACGGGTCCATGGGTCAACACACCCCGTCGCCTTTGGAACGTCTACACACATCAAGCGGTAAGATGGCAAATGTGTGCAATGAGAGCATATTTTGGCCGATTTTTGGTCGTTTCCAACTTTTTCACTTTTTTCCAATCCAGGGCGCTCTAGACCAAGGGTTTTATTGGATTTGACTTGGAAAAAAATCTTGTGGCTGAAAACCAGTCGAACCTCTCTAAAATCAACCAAACATATCGATCCCCTCTGAAGTAGGAGGCCTAAAAAGGAAATTACATTTCCGACCTCCTTAACTGGAAGAGAGGGCTGGGTCGAGCCTAGGAGACCCCATAGTAGAGGGGGAGATTTTGTCCCAGCCCCTCGTCAGCAAGAATTGCACAGACGAGGTGGCTGGGTTCAGAGCTTCTGGTGGCAAAAGTTGAAGTGGTGGCAAACAGAGGATGGCAAACAGAGGATGGCAAAGATGGAAAGAGGAGCGTGGGAGCGGTGGCGAGCAATGAAGGAAAGTCGAAGGCGTGAGACCGATGGCGAAGACAAAAAAGGGGGCCGTGGCGAGACCGTGGCAAAGGCAAAAAAAGGGAGTGGCAAATTTTCGCTATTTCCTACATCGCAGGGAAATAAGGAAAGTGACGTCATAGATTTCTTTGTGTGTGTTTGCTGCTTCTCGCTTACCATTCCTATCTTGGTTATCGCTTCTCATCTCTCCACCCCCTACTTTTTCATCAACGCCTGTCTTTTGCCACCGCTCCGCGCCCTTACTCCCACGCACCATTCTTACGACCTTTCCTCTCCCACCATTGCTACCGCTCGCCTCGCTCTTCTCATCATTACACGCCCCTATTCTTCTGCCCTCTTTTGCCACTAGCCCAACCCCATCACCACGTCATTACCCTTATCTTCGCGCGCCCCTCTTTTTCGTCGTCTTTCTTTCTATTCTCGCCACCACTCTCACAGGCTTTTCATCATTACTCCCTCGCCTTTTCATCTCCCACCGTTGCCACCACTCCCACGCCCTCGCCCTTCTCGACATCACACTCCTTTTCGCTTGTTTTTTGGAACAGTGGATTAGGAACACCTGCATGCTGCGCATGCTTCACGTCAATCCAGACTGACTCTCAGTTGCCTTCCGTACGTGTGTCATCCCTCGTTTAATGATCTTCACTTTCTGTCTGTTCCTCTCGTTGTTCCTTTCTCTTTTTCTACACCACATCCTTCGCCGTTTCCCCCTCTCTCTTTATCGCCTCCTTGTGTCTCACCCTCCCTCTCTCATATTCAATTTTCGCTTTATACGAGACGTTTCAACATACGCATCAATCTCTTTGTATCATTGACTTCGTTAACACCCGTGTCGCAATTTATTCGCAAGGCCTATTTCGTTACGTGCCAAGTAATTGGGATCGGTAAGTGGTCAACCAGGTTTCTTTTGTCTGGTATTTTTTTTCTTCCTTTTCTTTTCACTTGTAGTTTGTTGTGTTTGCCTTGTTTTCGAAAATCGAGGGTATGATTCATGGGAGGCAGACGAAAAAGGCCATTGTCCGTTCATCATAAGCCGGAGCATTGCGCTCGTTTATGATGGATAGTGTCATCTGCCTATTCTCCATGGGTGTAGGGTATTGATCTCGCCATCCCCTGGTTAGTGTGGAGTCGTCGCGCTTCATTATTAGTCCTCCTCTCAATGAGCAATTCTAAGCGTGAGTTGTAGATGGAGAGGCTACTTCGACGCCTCTTGCCCGACGATGGTTGGGTCAAATCCCCTGGTAACTTGGGTCCCATCACCATACATTCCCATGTCCCATTACTCCCTTGCTCTTACTGTTTCTTTCCTTCTTTTAAAAGTTATTCGATAATCTAATTTCAAAGCCTGCGCTAACGACTCTGCCATTTTTTCCCGCAATCTACATCTCTTTCTGTCCCTTTCTATCTTGAATTCGCCATCGCCACATCGCACGTCCCTAGTATACATCACCCTCGAATACTCCAGCTCCACCTAGCCTAACGGTTTCTACGTTTCCATCCATGTCGTCAAATGAATCCACCTCATCCTCCACCAATCCCCTTTTCGAGGAGCAGACGGACTTTCTCCTGCAGCGACACACTTTGCCATTTGAGAAGCTCCTGGAATCGTTCAACAGGCAATATTGTTTTAAAACGAGCGGTTCACTCAGCGATGCACTGATCAAGGGCGCCACGCGCATTCTCAACCGAGGGCCAGATGCTGATATTAAGTCTTGGGCTGAGGACAATAGGGTATGAGATGACGTTGTATAAGATGATATTAATCAATGGCATTTATCACTGGGTTCAAGTGATGATCGTGCACCTCCCAAGAGCGAAATCTGATCGAGCAAAATTCGACCGTTGCCTGGATTTGATGTTGACGCTCAAGGTAACATATTATAGGAAACAACAAATAGCGTATCATGAGCCTCTATAAAATAACCTTAAGAGTATCTTAAGAAGATCAATACTGATCCTTTCCTCAGGACTCCCAGCCCTACCCCAAACAAGAAGACAAACCCTTCAAATCTCACCCCCACCAAGAGGCCTTTTGTTCGGCCTATTAAAGCAGACCTAACTGTCGGCTTTTGATCACCATCTTCCTTGGCCTGCTCAGCCTGTATTTCATTAAATAAAAGCCGTTTTTGTCAAAGGTGAAGGGTCTGTCAGATAGTGGGACCACAATACGAGTGTCAACAATTTACAATTTATTTTTGTAAGGCGGGAATCGGTGACAGACATACGAACTCTGTCTGCATTCTCATATAGGTCTGTTTTACTCTTTTAAGATCGACTGATAATTCAATATCGAGTGGTGAAGGAGAGTGAGGATGCTTTGCAAAAAAAAAATTGTTGTTGGAGGCAAAGGCGAGGGGTGCGAGCACATACAGAAAATACTTGTTGATGTTGAGGGGAAAAAAAAAGGAACTCTTGGCTGCCACAAGTCAGTAGTTCAGACCCTTGAGAGTGGTAACAAACGCAAACGCTACCTTAAGACCAGATTTATTAAAAGAACGGACCACTCATCGACAAATGGGTTGATTACAGTATTCTGATTGATAAAACCAGCTTGATCTGATAAATAAAGGCGACGGAAAGACTCTCTTTCTCTTTGTCTCTCTCGCTCGTTTTTTTTTTTTTTTCTTGTTGTTGTTTGCATTGCATTGCCGCCTTGTTTGCATGCCCCAGACCATGATCTCCCACGTCTGTCCAGTGCACCAGCGGACCATGTCTTAGTGAGGCTCTCAGACTCAAACCTCTTCTCGGTAATGGTTTGATCGTTGTCCATACCCGTCCATCGCACCAAGTGCGTTCTTGCAAAAAAAAAAAAAAATACATGCAGCCCCTTAGTGTCTCTTTGGCGTTGCCTCCAAATGTTGTCCCTGGTGTTGTCAATGGATGTTGTCGATTGGTTTTGTCCCATGTTGAAGCCTTTGTCTTTTCCAATCCGTCATTCCTTGCTGTTTCAGATCCGTCATTCTTTGCTTTTTCCAGCCACCTTGTTTTTTCTCATTCCTTGATGTTGTGCTTTGATGTCGTGTCTTGGCGTTGTCCACAAGAGTTGTCCCTTGATGTTCCCCTTTGTTGATCAAAGATGTTGAGGATGATCAAGACTTTGAGGAGTATGTGAATGTTCACGGAGGCAGAAGAGGTACGTACTACAATTGAAGTTTGCATTGCAGACTACTGACCTCACTACAAGCCTACCTCTACCAATCCACCGGTCCACCAGTCCAAGCTATATTATGGATGAACACCATGGTCACTTGGTTTAGGATTTTTAAGATTTGTTAACAGCATGCTCGCTTGGTTTAGCTTTTTTTAGGTTTTTTAGGGGCGAGCATGGAGTCTCTTGACAGACTCCATGGGTCTTTGTAAGGATTTCACATAGAGTGCAGGTGCTCTATGTAGCGAATCTTCAACACATTGACTAAATCCTCCACAAACTAGTTTTAGACTTTGGGTTGTTCATGAGTGTCGGCAGGGCAATATAGATCTTGCCATTGTGCCAGCGTCGAAGCAGCTCGGCCCTGACGCGTGGAACCCAGGTCCGTCGATTGCGGTACAGCATGAGCGAAGCCATGGCAATGAGGGTCAAGACAAGAAGCACCAACCGCCAATGGTATTCCACCCTCCAGGTGAAGTGAAAGTGCTTCTTCTGCAGGCAGTTGGCGTCGGGAGCAAGGCGCTTGGTAGGATCCAGCTTCACGATGCCTTCGCTGACATCGTGGGCAAGCTTGCAGGCGCGGCACATGGACTCGTCGTATACTGGGGGCCACGACAACAAGTCGGCGCTCTGGTTCCGATTGGTCCATTGCCTGACAAATATTGGCGAAAGGTCGCTGACAGTGGGCCTGTGGGTCGAATCCTTGGGGTACTTGTACCACAGCCGCTCCAGGTACCTCTCATCGTTCTCATCCAGCTCCTTGACAAGGGCCGCCAGTTGCTTGGGACTGTATTGGTCCGCTTGGATCAAAGCGTTATGAGTCGCCGCAAATGGTCCGTAGTCGTTTGGCCCGTCGACAATGGGAATAGTGGCTGCCTCGTACGTACGAATCAGCTTCTCTGTAACGTAGAAGTCGCAGTTACTGTTCTCGAAGGCGAGATAAAAGCGATACGCACTGACTATTTCGAGGTCGGTCAAGAAAGAGCCGTCGGCGTGTGTCGGCCACTCGCGGTTGCGGGTGTTACATTGACCATAGATGTCGACATCGATGTATTTTTGGAGTTGATGGATGTAGTATTCACGACCATTGGATGCATGGCAGTTACTAACGATCCATGCAATCGGTGCAAGCCCTTTTCCGCCGTTGAATCCCTGATTCCGCATTGCCTTCTTGTACCCGAGCGTAACGGGTGGTGGTGCAAGGACGGTGTCGAGGACGCTGCTGTCAAAGTAAGGATAGACAAAGTCGGAGCTGGGGTGGTAGTTGAACTTGTATGTGAACTTGCCGATGACCGATTTCTTCCGCTCGAACCACTGGGGTGGCTCCCCTGTCAAGGATGAGTTGAAGAAACGCAAGGGGGAGGTAAACTCGAGGTTAATAAGATTTTCAACAAAACGTGTAGTCAAAATTAGTGGCTGTCAATAGTGGTTATGGTCGGTCAGGTCCAGGTATAGGAAGCGAACAAATAAAAGGTGAAAGAGTGTCCCACATACATCCGTAGAGAATCCAAGCCTTCTTTCCCGCGTCCATGTCTTTCAGTGGTGGCAGATCTTCTGGTTTGTTGAAAGCACTGACCGAGTCGTCGGCCTGGTATATACTGACGAAGATCAGGGGCGATTCATTGTACTGAGACTGGTCAAGAGGTTCGTGGTAGGGATTGTATTGAGTATGGCGGCAGATGTATGGCAGATTGCAGTTGTCGACAGATGTGCCGTTGAAGAGTCTGAGCTCGTCCTTTCCCCACCATAGCAGCGGGTACTCCTTCTCCTGAATTGGGGTGTTCATGGCGTGATGGAACGGTGAGTGCAAAGAAAGAGATGAAAGAATCACACGTTTTTTTTTTTTTTTATTGACGCCAGATCCCACCAGACGCGCAGGCGTGCCACAGGCTGCATGGTCCAAACCTCGGCTTGGACTGTCAGCCGGCCGATAGTTACCGAAAGATAGCTAACAAAAGGCCCCCACTAAACTAATGTAAAATGAGGGCCAAATACCTATGATGCACACTCTGAGTCGCATGGTTTCTAATACTTGAGCCGGGGCCCAAAACCGCTACGCAACGATGAAAGAATCACACTTGAGAGCCAGCCCTCAACACAGCCATAATCACGTGATCAACCCCTGTCGCGACTGGCGACCGCCAATCCGGGACCTGAGACAGCCGAGGCTTGGACCATGCAGCCTGTGGCACGCCTGCGCGTCTGGTGGGATCTGGCGTCAATAAAAAAAAAAAAAAAAAAAAAATCCAGGACCTGAGACAGAGTCGATTTGACTGAGGATCAACGTTCAGTGTTCGAAGAAATCAAAGATTGATTAATGCGATGGATTGTAAGCGTGATAAGATGATATTGCAGAGCGTGGCAGCACATCAGGATTGGCTACAGACTGCGCAAAAGCAGGATTCATTGCGATGCGCGGTTGTTTGTCAAAGATAACTTCATGCCACGCGGAAGCATTAGTCTGATCGCGTGTCATATGGTTGTTCGCCAGCATGAACAACCTTATTTTCTGCATGGGCTCTAGGCTCGTCCCCAGCCCTCTCTCTAAGCGCAAGGTAGCATGCTATATATGAATGTGTGTACGTATTTGTATGAAGAAGGTGTTTGGCATGGTGGTTGAAAGAGGAATCACGGTGAAGAGCACGGTTTAAATCTCTTTTTTCGATCCTCAGAACCATCTCTGAATCTCTCTCTACTTCACACGCTTCATCACGATCCTGACCCTTTTGGAATTCAGGGGTGGAAGCACCAACCAATGAAATGAGTCCGCGTCCCCGATCTCATCTCTTTCTTTCAGAATGACTCATTCTGCCAACTCTTCATCATTACGGTTTCTCATCCCGTTAGTCAGCACATATGCATCATGATCACATCCCTCCTGTGGTCTGCATTCTTTTTCTTTTTTGATCTTTGATCTCTCTCGGCATGGTGACTGTGGTTCAACAATTTTGTTTACGCCTTGAATCAAGCCCCATGAGCACACTTCTTCTGAAGAGAGGCAAATAATAATATTGTGCGCAGAACCTTTTGAATAAAGACTCAATCGGATTACTTTGCTGCATAGGCTGGTATTCGTATGGCGTATGAGAAGGATGTCCACGTTGTACCCGGCGACGTTATCACCAGCGTCGATAATAGGCATCACATCGTTTGCAGGTATTTCGGTTCACCGTGGATCGCCTATTTACCAGCCCATTAACCCCAGCGATGGAGGGGAAGGTACTGAGCGACCCACAACGGCTGAGAAACAGGCGCCAATCCAGTTCAGCGCCGCGCTAGTTGACTCCAGTCAGCAATGCACGGACAATGACCACGAGGTCATTGACCTGAATACGATTGAAGACGATGAATATGGAAAAGCGTACGAGAATTACACCGTGGAGCATAATCCTCTCAACGACTTTTACGATGGCTATCCCGTTTTTATGCCTGACGAGAATTTAATATTCATAAAAATCAACAATTCTGTGCGACGCAAAGGCGATAGCCTGGACAATCGCATCATTGTCCCCGTCTACATTTATGGCGACAAGCACATGGCACTTGTTGATACTGGTGCATCGCATTCATTTATTGACACGAAGATCGTGAGCCAATACAATATTGCTGTCATTGAAGCAACAGGTCACGTTGAGCTGGCAGACAAATCTACCATTATGAGAATCGGTGAGACAGAGAATGTTGGAGGAAGCGTTCTATCCGCTCCGTACGAGGTCATCGAACAGAAATATGCGATTTTAATCGGCATGGATCATTTCTATCGGTTCGGCTTCAGGATTGAAGGTCTTCCTGATGTGGAAGAGTCTACCCATCGGGTACCGGAACCTTAAGAGGATAGCAAGCCTACTCTCAAGCGTCTCATGATCCCTGACATCGAGAAGGAACCTGAATTTATAGCTGCGAAAGAGAAATTCATGCGCTATCAGGCCTAAATTGGAAGAATTCCTTTGACAAGTCACTGTCCGATTCCAGAAATGAAAGTGTTTCTTCCCGTGCCTGAAGGCACAGTTGTGTTTCGTAGGTCACGTCACTTTGCTCATGCTCAATGCCCCATTCTAGACGAGGCTGTAGAGAAATGGATAAAGGACGATGTTGTTACATTGGCTCCGCCCAACAACCCGCACAACAACACACTGACCTTGGCTGCGAAGAAGGATCTTGAAGGGAACAAGACGCTCTGGCGGGTCTGTCTTGACCCACAACCGCTGAACGCTCATCTACCAGATGATAATTTTCCCTTGCCACTGATTTCTGAAATTATGCAGAGTGTCGGAGGCAACGACATCTTCACTACCGTCGATTTGCGTCAAGCTTATCATCGTCTGCCAATTCATGAAGAGGACCAACCCCTCACGGCTTTTATGCACAATGGGCAACAATATATGTTTAAAAAGGCACCATTTGGCCTTAAACCATTATCGAGTTTGTTCCAACGTGGAATGTCTCGCATTCTAGGAGACCTTGATTTTGTTCGCAAGTTCATGGATGATATCATCATCAAGTCCCAGAATCGTGAAGGTCACATTCACCACGATGAGAGCGTCATTGAACGCCTGAACGATGCCAAACTCATTATCAATCAAGACAAATGTAATTTCTACAGCACCCAAGTTGCGTTACTCATATTCATCATCGATCTGAAGGGCAAGCGAGTCGATCTCCAAAAATTGGCTAATATCGATGACTGGCAACCGCCTACCACTGGAAAGCAGGTACAATCGTACATGGGCACTTTTAATTTCTTTAGGGAATTTATGCCTATGATCAGTACTATTGCTGCTCCACTTGATGCTTTGCGCAACGAGCCAGGCACATTTGAGTTAAACGAGATACAATTGCGTTGCTTTAATGCACTGAAGAATATTCTTGTGCAGGCACCTGTATTATCATTTCCGAATTTTGCTGAGCCCTTTTATGTCGCCACAGATGCATCTAACGTGGGTATTGGAGCTGTCTTGTACCAGCTGCCTGAAGACGAAGAGAATCCCAAGAACATTAGATATATTTCATTTGTCGCGAGGTCGTTGCAGGAGAGAGAAAGGAAGTACTCCGCAACGCAGAAGGAGCTACTAGGAATAGTATTCGCTCTAAAGAAATTTCATTATTATTTGTGGGGTAGGCATTTTACGTTGTACACGGACCACCGCGCACTGACGTTCATTCATTCTCAAAAGGAGATGAACTCGATGCTCACTAGATGGCAAGAGACCATCCTGGATTACACATTTAAAGTCATTTACCGACCATGAGTGCTTAATGTATTACCGGATGCATTGTCGCGGCAGTTCCCACGGGAGCTTTGGACGAGTAGAGTACCTATGAATGGACCTACGAAAATTTATAGCTACATGCATCTTATCCAGGATAAGCAAACTCCCAGAGAGACGGTACCAGAAGATAAACGTAAAACATTGCTAGCCGGTACTCACGCGCTTGGCCATTTTGGCACAAATGTCATGGTCAATCATATTCACTCTCTGAACAAAACTTGGCCCTTGATGGCTAAAGACTGCTTAGAATTTGTTCAGAGCCGTACAGAATGTCAACGCGTAAATATAAGACGCAAGGGATATCATCCTCTGTCTGCAATCCATGCCCAACTGCCCGGAGAGCATATGGCAATAGACCTTGCCGGATCTCTCCCAGGAAGTGCCAAAGGGAACACCATGTTGCTCATTTTAGTAGATGTCTGCACTCGGTTCGTCTTTCTCGTGCCCATGAAAAATAAGACAGCAGAAACCGTAGCGCACAAATTATTCAAGATATTTACCATCATTGGTTTTCCCCGCATTTTGCAGTCGGACAATGGAAAAGAGTTCGTTAATGAGATTATGAGAGTGATGGCCACAGAGATGGGTGTACAACATCGGTTGGTCACTCCATATCGCCCTCGAGCCAACGGCGTAGCCGAGAACCATGTTAAGACAGCTGTAAACATTATCCGTAAAGAAATCAAAGCGAAGAAACGCAATTGGGACCGACATGTCATCATGGCTCAATTAGCCATGAATACGAGAATTGTTGCGTTGCACAACTCGTCCCCTTTTTCGTTATTTTTTGCCAGACGATTCAACGGTTTCCATAATTTTTCAAACGATAAGGATGAACGATTATCCCATAGTGAACTCTTGGAGCGACTTCAATACATGACTGAAGTTGTCTTCCCAGCTGTGAACGCCAAGTCGCGTGCCACTCAGAAGAGAATGATTGAGCGATTCAACAGAACGGTACTGCACAATGAGTTTCCGGATGGAGCCAAGGTCATGACTCTCGATCCTATCTTGGGTGATAAATTGACACCCAAGTATGAAGGTCCTTACGTTGTTGTGCGTAGAACCATAGGCGGTGCGTATGTTTTGAAGGACGGCACTGGCGATTTGCTTCAACGCCAGTATGCCCCATCCCAACTCAAACTCGTACTCGACGACTACGACGACACCACTTACGAAGTAGAAGAGATTCACGAACATCGGGATAATTCTGAGGGGGGAGTGGAATACTTCGTAAGCTGCAAAGGGTATACAGAGAGGACCTGGGAACCAGAAGAGAACTTTGTTGAGAGAAAGTGTATCACAGACTACTGGAAGAGTCGCGATCTTCCTGGACCACCTTCTCGACCGCACCCTCGTCAAACTTTGAAGAGCCACAAGGCAAAGCAGAATCAGCAGGAGGCACTATTGACTCAGCGTCCAGTAGCACGTAAAAATACTATGAACAATTCTGCTGATAGTGTAACCACCCCGAAACCTAAACGCGGTCGCCCACCAAAGGTCAATATAAGCGCAATTGATCGAGAGCCACCCCGCAAACGAGGACGCGGTAGGCCACGAAGCATATCAGCGAGCAGAAAGTAGAGGAGCATGAGAAGGGGGTTTTTTATGTACTTTCCCCTTGAATCACGACAGAGGTTTTCCTTCGGGCTTTCCCTCGCAAGGCCTTTTTGCTTTTGCCTTGTAGTGATTATTACAATTGTCATGTAGAGGTTTTAAACTTTCCTCTGAAATTTATAATTTTATTTACCTTGAGGTTTTCACTTTTTCCTTCATACCGTAATCAATCTGCCCAATATGAGCAAGAAGACCTGGCTTACGCCTCCCATGGGAGGGGAGCTATGCCATATTGGACAGATACTTCACTAGGATCACGCTACGTAGAAAAGTCCGTCCGGTAACCTATATAAAGGGGACCGGACGGTGCTATTAAAGATCCCTCTCTTGTCTCGTGCTTACTTGTAGAGTCCGCGTCAAAAAGTCCCATCTCAAATATATTTTTACAATACGACATTTTGAATCGTCTATGTCCTCACGTGAGGTTCACGTACAAGGATGAGGATGGCCAAAGTTGCATGACTGGCTGCTGCACGCCTGAGGGGATCTGGCGTCAATAAAAAAAAAAAGGCCGCATGGTTGGCTGCATGTAAGCAAAGTTATCTATTTGACAACCCCCCTCTAATTGACCGCTGATGCTGCCCACTACACACTTGTCCACTGCAGGCTGCACTAACTCGCATCTGCTTGCTCTTACCATTCCTCCTCGCTGCCCCACTACTCCTCCTCCTCCTTTACCCCTGCTGACGAGTCATTACACTAGCCTACCCACATCCTCGTAGCATGGATCCAGCTGTACTGAGTAGAGCTGAACTGACCGCTGCCTCAATCGCCGCTGCAGTGTATGTGGATTCAGCAGGCGAGCCAAAATAAGTCTCGTAACAGCAGTCAATTAGGGGGGTTGGCAAATAATGCATGGCAACCCGGGTTGGCAAATAGATAACTTGCATGTAAGCATCCAGCCATGCAGCATCCAGCCAGTCATGTGCCAGCGTGCCCATGTGCATATGGCTGTCGTGAGCGACTGGGTTGGTCATCATCTGCGACATTTAACCTGAACCTTTACTTCCATAATTGTCAAAGACGCGTCCAGCCTCGAACATGAACAACAACGAAGACAGTGAAGGGACTTCAAGCAGCCCCACCTCCATACCCCACCACCTTTCCGCCCCCTCTCCACCATTTTCTACACCTTCTCCTCCCAGCTTTTCTGCACCATCACCTCAGGACGATGGCAATGTTGACCTTTTTGCGCCTCCTCTCGTGCTTTCCCCTACGTCTGGCGGCGACGCGTCCAAGCCCGCTAACGGTTCAGGCACGGATCCCGGATCGACCAATGAAAAATCTCCTCTTAAAAGGACCCCCAAAGACTTCGCCAGTCAAGTATGGCTGGCTCCCAGGCATACGCGCCTTGAACAAGACCCCGTCCCCAATGAGGAAAGCACGCGCACTCAAATTCAAGACTCGCGCCTCCCCCCAAGCGAACAAGGATGCTCAGTTTTCTGCAACGCCTAACCCCTTCCTGGAAACAAGCGACGAGGACGGCTGGAGAATGACTCTGAAGTCTTTGAAGCATCGCTCCAAAACCTTAAGCACAACCGAGCTCAACATGATGGCACATGTCTACCTTACCGTGGCCAAACTCGCGCCGCCCGAGGTTCAATTGTGGTTCAGGTCCTTGCCGGGCGCAAGCGACAGTTATCAACTGAAAGATCTGACGGGTGTAGGTGAAAACTCCTGTCAAGCCGCATTGAGAATCTCCAAGGGCGAGGATATAAAAGGAGGAGTTAGAACTGGGCGGCCTATGAAGGAGCAGGGTCCAGAGTACGCAGCTCAACTAGGCAAAGCTGTCGAAGGGCTTAACAAAAGAGGCCTTCCAAGCACAAGTGGTCGAATAAATGCCGCCATGAATGAACTCGAAGACCACAAATACTAGTTGAGTACTACGCAAAGGGACCTCAAAAGCATAGGCATGTACTGGGGCAAAGGAGTCAGACAGAACATATTGCATGATGCCCCTCAGAATGTAACGTTGCGGCTCAAGTACACTACCGAAAATAATGAGTAAATGATTTTCACTTTTGTAGCACATTTGTCAGTTGTTTCCGAACCCGGGTTATATAGCTGGTGATAGTTACAGGATAACATGCCAGTGCAATGAAAAGTAATCTACAGCATTTGGGAGATGCGGAGAAAATTATTGCGCGTTGTATACAGAATTAAGTTTAAACTGTTCAATTTACTCATTATTTCTCCCATGGACATGGTTTTTATTTTTTTTTATTCATCTTCGATATCAAGTTTACTGATGGCCTGTTTAGTACCTAGTGTGGCCTCCCTTGGCATTCTTAACAGCTTCGATCCTTCTGGGCATACTCTCAATCAAGCCTTGGCAGACAGAAGGGGGAATCTTGTTCCACTCCGCCTGAAATCTTTCCCATAGTTCGATCATGCCCTTCGGAGGCACCGGGTACTTGCCTAACTGGCGTTTTGCGTAGTCCCAGAGGTGCTCGATCGGATTTAGGTCAGGAGAGTTGGGCGGCCAGAACAACAAATTGTACTTGTGCTGCTTAAAGAAATTCATCGCAGTGCTGGAAGTGTGTTTCGAGTCGTTGTCCTGTTGAAAGATCATATCCTTAGGCTTGATCTTGTACCAGCGCTGGGTGAGTGGGAGACATTCCTCCAGGATTTCGACATAGAGACTGGCGTCCATGATCCCCTCGATCCTGGAAATGAATCCAGCACCATGCCAGGTCATGCACCCCCATAGCATGATGGAACCGCCGCCGAACTTGACCTCCTCCTGGACAAGCCGATCGTCCAGAGACTTGTCACCTCCCTTTTTCCAGACCCACAGGACTCCATCGGACCCAATGCGGTTGACCCTAGTCTCGTCGGACCAAACGACTCGTTTCCAATCATCGATTGTCCAGTGCTCGTACTTTCGCACGAAATCCATGCGCTCCGCCTTGTGCTTGGAGGTAAGTTTTGGCCTTCGCCGTTTGCGCACGGCGGTCAGACCCTCCTGTCTCAAGATCTGTCGAACTCTTGCTGCCGTCAAGTCCGTCCCAAAGTCTCTACTAAGCCGTTCCTGCACGTCTACAGCGATTTGAAGTGTACCATTTGTGATTTCTCGAACCATCAAACGTTTGGTTGCCTCGGATACTTTCCCAGGGCGGCCGGATTTTCGCGGCGGAAGGGTCTCCTTGATGGTCTGCGCGAGCTGAGAGACCTTGGCCTGTGATACTCCACGTCTCTTGGCAATGGCTCGTGTGGTCATTTTCAACCGGAGGTCAGCAATGATCCCCTGTTCAATGTTATGATTGAGCTTCTTCATGTAGGATTTAAAGTCGTGGCGTAAGGTAGTCGATATTATGGTAGTAGGAGTGTGTGGGTAGCTGAAGTGGAGAAGAAAGAGCAAAACGAGGTTCAAAAGTGCATGGGGGTAATAATGAGTAAATGACGTCATAATTTTTAATTTGAGATATATATGGCTCGCTGTATTAGACACACCTGGTAGTCATTCCACGCGATGCTGAATGGACCATGATATTACTGGCGAACATGCACAGCACTAGTGGTCTTGGACATCGAGGCATAAAATTTTATCGGCACTTATACCAAAACATTTACTCATTATTTTCGGTAGTGTATGTGTGTGTATGTGTGTGTGGATAGTATCTTCACTGAAAAAAATGAAATATATGGTGGTTTTTGAAGTCAGTGAGAAAGAGATGTGTCTCCAAACACACATCTACACAATATTTATTAATCAACTCTAGATTAAGTTTCAGAGGTGATAGATTTATATAGTAATAAAGCACGCTGGACTCGGCTGAATATGCAGCACTGTGTATTGTACAAGAGGCTGGGATATTTATACAGGTAGTCTATGAAGAAGAGTCTTGGCGAACAGTTACGTTAGACGAAGCAATGTGATATGCCAGAACTTGGCACTCCGTGTACAATACGATGGAAACAGTGGTGAAAAGTTGGACTGTGAAAGATAGCTTTAGTTGTGAAAGAGGAGGTTGTAATGAACAAAGAGTGGCTATACATATATTGCTGTGGCGTGATCGGTAAGAATATATCACACATTGAAGCCATCTCAGACGCCACTCATCCTTGACAGCCCATCTCACGCCTCCGATACCTTATATACCAGCTTCTCCCCACTAACGGCCTTACTCCTCAGTAGAGTTAGGGCGTTCTGCGCTCTCTCGACCAGCGTCGCTCCTTCAACTACCCGCTGGTTATTGGGCTTGATGATCCCTTGGGCTAACAGTGAAGGTAAAATCTCCGGCTGCAGCTTCTCCTTGAAGAAGTCGTTCTGAAGGTAGAAATGTGTACGCACGCCGCGGACAATGGCACCGTTGGCCCACTTGCCTGGCAGACATTTTGAGACGTCCATCTCGTACACTGGCTCCTCTTCCTCGCTTGCATCCTTGACTATGACAGGAAGCATGACGGCGACCCGGGAGCCTCTCTGAGCTATCTTGGCCAAGGGTTCCAGTGTGCCGTTGAGCGATCCTATACAATCCAAGATATATGGTACCTTGGGCTCCTCCGCGTCCTTCAAATAGTCCAGGATGTTGTTCACGACATCAGGTTTTCTGTAATCGAAGCAGACAGTCGCGCCGAGATTCTTGAGATATTCGTGGTGCTGATTGCTCGAGACGGTGAGGACATTGGTGTACCCCCAGTGCCGGAGAACCTGGATGGCAAATATGCCTACACTGCTACTGGCGCCCCAGACGAGGATAGGCCTGTTCGCCGCCTTGGGTTTCCAGTCCTTTGGGATAGGCCATGGCAGTTCGAGCTCGAGGTCGGCTGTGACTGAGTGAAATACGGTGACCAAGTTCACTGGCACCGTGACAGCAGCCTGCAGCGGTATTCCTTCGGGGACTTTGGAGGCCAGGTATGCGGGGATGGTGATGTACTGCTGTTGATTCGCCTCCTTGCCGCCATGGAATGCAAAAGTCGAGACGTGGTCTCCGACCTGGAGGCCCTTAAGGTCGCCTCCGGAGCCAGTAGCGACTACGGTTCCCACAGCGCCACCGCTTCCTTGCAGGGCTGGATACGAGGTGATGAGAAGGCCACCATCAGAGCGATGGAGATCCAGGGGTGAAGACGCGGTCCATTGAACATGTACCACTACCTCGCCAGCGGCAGGGGGATGCACTGGGGTCGAGATCTCGACGAGGGGAGAGCGCTTGGCCGGTAGAGCGACGGCTTTCTGGGTAGACGGAAGGGTTGACATGGTCGAAAACTGCGGATGGTGATGTAGATAAGGTGAGCTGAATGACAGAAAAGGGAGTTATAGTGAACAAAGCACCTGCTTAAATGCAAGCCAATAAATAGCAAGCTACCGTACTTATAGATGCAATAAAGTCTGCCATAGCGTTTTTATAAGCATTGTATTTGTAAGCGTTGTATTTGCAAGCATTGCGTGCTTTTTAACAGGCTGATTACCGCGTGATTTCATAGGGGACACAATGTACATGTGCATTGGTCTAGTATTAGACATTATTAATTAGCGTACATACCAGGGTCGGTTGATAAAAGCAAAAAATGCGTCCTTCAGCACGCTTGTGCTGCCGAGGCTTAGCATTCGATAGCGTCGTTTAATCCAGAAGCAGACGTGGTCCATCATCAGAGCAATATGAGTATTTCATGATGTCGTGTTGTACGCCGCCTTTCCTCATCCCTGCACGTTTGCAGGTTTTCCTGTCAAGTTTCTTTGGTACTTTTCTTTGGTCTCTGTTGAGTTTGTGCAGTGCATAAAATTCTTAGAAAATAAAATGCCGCAAACAAACATGTACACAGCCCAAGCTAACATGTACACTACCCTCAATACCTCAAGACAACGCTAGCGCGTCTAATTAGGGGGTTTCAAACTCAGTGGTTTCAATTTTTCTGCACGTACGCATTTTTATACGTATTTCTGTCACACGCATTTGGAAATACGCATCAAAATTACTGAGTTTGAAACCCCCTATTCGATTCGATTCGAATGGTACCCTTGAATTCAAATGATTCGATTAATTCGATTAGTCAAAATTTTTGAATAAGATGTCACGGACAACGCTTCAATTCTTTCCAGCTTAAGGGTAAATACACTTCGCTTTGAAGTATCAACACTTGGAGGTGAAGTGTCACTCTCAAAACAAGTAAAAAATGATGTCGTTTCTTCTCAATCACATAAAAAGATAACACCTCAGGGTTTCTGGCATCTCGTCGCTGAAGACATATTAAGAACTATACTTTTTTTTGGATAATTATCAGCACTGCTTTATGAAGTGTTAATTGAAGTGTAGGTTTGTCCTGAGAAAGCATAGGAAACGTCATCATATCCATTATTCACTTCTTTTTTGTTCGATCTCCTCCCCCAATCCATTATCCCCTTCAACCTTTCCCTTCAGATGTATTCCGAAGACCTTCGTTGGGTTGCCATCAATCTTTATTGTTTTCAGGGATATGACAAAGAGCACATTGCCCATTTACTAGGAGTATCTGTGCCTACTCTTTCGATCTGGATAAGTACGCACTCGTCCTTACTTTTCTAACACTTTACTCTGACAAGTGTGACACTTTAATTTTGACACTTCGTGGATTGTCGACAGCTCCTCGTCAGGAGTCGAATAAAAATTTATGAAATGCGCAATAATTCGATTAATTCAGTTAATTCGAATGGTTCTAATATTTCGATTGATTCTATTGATTCGATTGATTCGATTGATTCGATTAATCCGATTAATTCGATTAATTTGAATGATTCGAATGAATCGAATTATCAGTTTTATTCGAATAGATGCGCTAGCGAAGGATCAAGAACAGTATCGGTGGGTCAGAAATCAGAAATAAATTTTTGATTTTTGACCTGATGGTTCAGCCACACGTATCTCACCAAAAAAACACTTGATACTATTAAGTATCAAAGTGGCTGAAGGTACACAACTCGTTAGGGTTGATACATAACCGCCTGCGGGTTCGAGGGCTCTTTTTTTGCAATGATGAATGGTAAGCAAAGGGCGTTGACGAAGTGTTCATTCGATGGGAGGGGGGAGGGGGCATGCAATGAGCCATGTAGCAATGTACAGTCCACGGAAAAAGTGTTAGCATGTTTTCATAATTTCGACCTTTTTTCTTTGATACTTACATCAATACCGCCTACTGCTACGAGGCTTCACGCGATCAACCTCGTATATTTGTTAAGGTTACCTGCCAAGTTACGAGCCAATGGATGCACTCTATCCGGCTAATTGAGGACATGAACATATTGACCCCATTCTAACACTTTTTCGAAATATGACCACCCTCTGATTCTGTTAGCTACTTTTCTGCCATTAATAATCGATATGGCCTCCTTTATTTGCGTGAAGCTTCTTCATGCGCTCGGGCATGCTCTCATATAGCTCGTGAAGGAATTCGATATCTATTGTTGTCCATATATCCTGAACACGCTCCCAGAGGTCGTCCAAAGAGCTTGGTGCCTCTGGATACTGATCAAGTCGGTACTTGAGGTGCGACCATAGATGCTCGATCGGGTTGAGGTCCGGAGAATTCGCAGGCCATTCCATGACTGCGATCTTGGATTTCCTAAGGAAGTGTTCGACTACGCCTGCTGTATGCACTTTGGCATTGTCCTGCTGAAAAATGAATTTTGCTGGATCCATACCAAACCAATCCCGAGATGCGCAAAGATGGTCCTTCTGTCAAGATCTGGACTGGCAGGCAAGTGGAGAATGTAAGAGCAAGAGTGAGTACAGGGCAGGAAAGTATTTTATTGCAGACTGAGGTTTGATTATGGCAGCTAGTTATGTCTTTTATATGTGAATAAAACTTGACTCGGGACCCCAGCTCGGTAGCTTATGTCCTATAAGCTCCCGTACTCGGGACCGAAACATAATGGAATGGACAAGGGTGGACGCGGGCAATCGTCTACTTGAAACGGGCAAGCAACGTTAAACCAGTTATGCTTTCCGTGTGGGGTAATTCTGGAGACGCGACGTGATTTGGGCTCGCGTAGCAGACGCAAGGTAATCACAAGCCACTAGGGTCAATTGAGATGAGCGCAAGTCTGTCCTCAACCTTAATTCGTGACACCTTCAGTACATCGAGGTAGGTTTGTGCATCCATACTTCCTGGGATCCAGCAGGCATCGCCCAAGCCATAAAATGTCATGCAACCCCAGACCATAATTTTGCCCCCTCCGCCCTGCTTTATTTTCTGCACTTGGTGAGGTTGGATATCCTTCCTGTTGGGCTTCTTGTAATAGAATTTCCTGCCGAAGGACCCAATCCTGCTGATTATAGTTTCGTCCGAGAACATCACATTCTTCCAGTCGTCCACGGTCCATTTCAAGTGCGCCTTAGCAAATTCGTAGCGTGCTCTGATTGATCCGGTGTCAGATCACGCTTCCTAGGCTGGACGTATGCTTTTAAGCCCTCCTGTTTAAGGTAGTTCCGGACACTGTCTACATGAACCTGCACTCCTTGCACCGATTGGATAAGTCGCTGGCCGTCGCGGAGGGTTACGGCTTTTCCTGTGACGAAATGACGAGCAAGTAAGGTCTTGGTCTTCTTCGAAACCTTCGAAGGACGCCCTATTTTAGGGGATGGAACGTTCTCCTTGTCCCTTTGACGAATCTTGGAAACGGAGAAAGTAGAGATATGCAAGGATCTTGAGACCTCGCGGACAGATTTTCCTTGCCGAAGTTGGATAATCGCATCGCGTACGGTTTGTTCTCGCAGCCGCTTCATGTTTGATGTAAACTTGGGATGAATGTGGCGTAGGATGGGAGTAGTGGATAACTGTGCAGTTGTATTGTTCTAGTTGCGAGTGAGGATGCAGACCGTAAGGGAAGAGCACAATTTATAGGATTTTTTAAAAAGTGTTAGAGTGCACCTCATGACTTTCGAGATCCTTCGTTCCTCAGCTGAAGGTCATTCAAGCCTGGAACATTCTAGAAAACCCCTTGTAAATTACGACATTGTCCACCAGACATCTCGGTCCTTGGTAATAGCGTAATAGGGAGATAAAGGAGTATAAGTCCAAAATAGCAAAACATGCTAACTGTCACGAACCTATGCTTATTCAGAGTCAAGATGACCTTCTTAAGCGTGGCAGGACAGAACAAGGGGGAGGAGATGCAGTTTGGGAAACAGGGTCAAGAAAGCGTAGATATATTGAAGTTGCTAGATAAGGAATAAAAGATACAGAACTACGGGATATATATATGTTTCTCATTGCCTTCGTGTAACGGTCGTACGCGTTGCCAAGAGTCGACCGATCACTTGCCAAGTATCGATCGATCGTGTCGTGGCACGCGACACTAACACTTTTTCCGTGGACTGTATCACACTATAGCAAAAATTTCTCGCGCGCCCCAAGACCAAGTCAAGACAGTGTCACTTAGTCCAAGATACCATGGCACTCTCGCTTAATTCCCGTATCGAAGGCTCATCCCTTCATGGGCATTGGTATGGAATTGTCATAAAAATCATAGAGGGAGAAGTTTATTACGTATAATTAGTAAGGTTTCCTACGCGCGAACTTTCTCTATAACCAACTTTTCCGAGAACGCCCACAACTTCTCTTGCAACTCCTCATCCTGAGCATAAGCACTCGGCTGAATCTCATTCGCAATAGGAACAAAATATCGTCCTCGGATATCCTTGTTCACAATCTCGGGACTCGTAGCGACATATAACTGTGTCAACGCACCGACTTCTGGGGTCATTGCCATGACAGCCGTTATAGCCTCAAGGACCCTTAAGACCACCGGTCCAAACAACTCCTTATTGTGGCGCTGCAGTTCTGTGGCCACAAAGCCAGGGTGGACAATGTTGACATAAACTTGCGTATCGGCAAATCGACGGGCGAGTGCTTTGCCAAAGAGAACGTTGGCGAGTTTGGAACGACCATAGCGAGAAACGATAGTGGACATCTTCTCGTCGTTAAGGGTGTCAAAGTCGATACCGCCCTCGACTGGTCTTTCGTGGGAATGAGAACTGTACCGAGGAAAGAGTGGAACGAAGCAATTGCACAGTTAGTGCGACAGTTGACCGGAGATATTGTTACGTAGGGATCCTTCCTTCAACGAGTGCGATGTGTATATTTCCACAAGTGTTACCTCAAAACGACAATTCTCGAAGGTTGTGACTCCTTGATCCGATCCAACAACGCCGTCGTGAAAACAAAGTGTCTATGAAGAGGAAGGAAGGGATGAGATGACAATTAACACTCTAACAGTTTAGCAGGCTATATTTTTAGCGTTCAAAAAAACAATCGCTTGGTTCTCTTACCCCATATGGTTGACAGCGAATTGCTGTTCGATGCCATCGGCACTCAACGCAAAAGGGGTCGTCATGATACCCGAGTTATTGACAAGCAGGTGCAAAGGCAAACCCTTGTTCAAGAACTCGTTCGCGGCCTTCTTACACTTGCTCATATCGTTCAAATCCAATTCCAAAAACTCAAGGTTGGGAGCAGGAGCTCGGGGGTACTTTTCCTTGATTTCTTGTTTAGCCTTCTCGACCGCATGCAAGGCACGTTCCTCGCTACGGCAGGCCAAAAAGACATGTGCGCCATGACCAGCCAAAGCGACCATGGTCGCGTATCCGAGTCCTGTGTTGGCACCAGTCACAATCGCCACTTTGCCGGTCTGATCAGGGATGAGGTCGTTTGAGTAGCGGTTGGGAGTGAAGTATGTCTTCCAGTACGCCAGCTGTTTTATGGAGCTCATTGTTGTAGCGTGTTTTGCGTGCGTGTGAATGAGGGAAAAAAGAATGAGGGTGAGTGCGAGGGCGAGGAATAAGAAGTGATTAGAATTTTTCTTTGTCTTTATGGTAACTGGTCTGTGGTTCGTTGCATGAAAATTATGCATTGGTTTTTTTGGACCTTGGAGCAGGTTTCTTTTGGACTAAATGGAGCAAATTTTATACAAATGGTAGTCTTGTGCCACAAAATCACGTGCGATCCCCGCAATTAAAATCTGAGTTGTTTAAGATACCATTATTATTTAGGCTCGAATCCAGCCTTCATTAAAGCGTCAGCCACTATTCCCTTTTTCAGAAGGGATGGCAATTTGCTTCTCTTACGGCTGGTTGCAAACTCGGGCGTTTACTATAGCTTATTCTTTTTGGAAGGTTGTTAAGGGTTTCTTGCTTCTCCCCAAAAATTTGTACGTGGATCTGGATCTGTATTACCATGCCTGCATGGTCGCATGGTCTTGCTTTTTTTTTTCTTTTTTTCTCACACGCTACGACTTTAGCTGGCAGAGTCGAATAACATGAAGACTCAAGCTTATTATCCGAGGGCCAGGACCATATATGTGTTATCTTCTTTTATTGAAATAAAATGCGAAAATCCAGAAACTACCCGTAAGGAAAAAATGAAATAAATTCTGCTCGTATACCATGAATGCCTACTATCTTCTCAAAGGAGAGCCAGGGCGTGCAGAAATGAACCAGGGTGGGAAAAGAGGGTGGGACATATATGGTCCTGGCCCTCGGATAATAAGCTTGAGTCTTCATGTTATTCGACTCTGCCAGCTAAAGTCGTAGCGTGTGAGAAAAAAAGAAAAAAAAAAGCAAGACCATGCGACCATGCAGGCATGGTAATACAGATCCAGATCCACGTACAAATTTTTGGGGAGAAGCAAGAAACCCTTAACAACCTTCCAAAAAGAATAAGCTATAGTAAACGCCCGAGTTTGCAACCAGCCGTAAGAGAAGCAAATTGCCATCCCTTCTGAAAAAGGGAATAGTGGCTGACGCTTTAATGAAGGCTGGATTCGAGCCTAATTATTATTATTATTATTGGCTCTACTCAATTCCTTTTATATTCAAAAATTTAAAATGAACAAAATTTTAAGCGATGTCACGTGACCTTACGGGCCCCTTCGCTCCCCATCATCTACGGCTACTGCTTCCGTCTCACACAGTCACCCACCATGGCGCGACGTGATTACGAGAGACAATGGCGAGCGCAACTCAAGGCGGCAATCGTGGTGCAGTCAGAGCAGCTGGAAGATTCCTTTCGCAATAGTCTCTCGGCGCAAGACTTGGAGGATGCACTCACATTCGAGGGAACTCTTGCTGCGCCTAATGGTGACATGGACTTTGTAGATGAACTGGTCTCGGAACTTGCGCGCTCATACTCTTTTCGATATATCTCCAGGCCCCTTATGTACGCTCGCAACAACCATAGTGTAATTGAGCGTTTGGAAGGGTTCAACAACAGGAAGTGCCTGGCCTTCATGAGGATGAAGAGCTCCAGTTTTTTGAAACTCTTACGACTTGTCTTCAACCACAACATTTTTAAGAGCGGTGGGTACAAGGAGCAGGAGGAGGTGGCAGTACAACTGGCAATTGTTCTGGACCGACTGGGGCACAATGGAAACGGCATGGCAGCAACCCGTCTTGCAGAAACGTGGCACAAGAGTGAAGGATCTTGCACCAATTACACAAACCGAGTTTTAATTGCAATTCTGTCTTTGCAAGAGCGTTTTTTGCACTGACCCACTCCAGAGCAGCGGCAGGCACACTCGGCAAGAGTAGCACATAAGGGGTTTTCTGGTTGCGTGGGGTTTGTAGACGGGACCACAGTTCCCTTTGAGCAGCACCCTTCGCATCAGGGTGACTTTTACTTTGATCGATACGGCCGATACTCTCTCAACCTGCAGGTAATCTGTGATATTGATCGAAGGATACTCTTCCTCTTTTCTGGATACTCAGGTAAGATGCAACAGGATTACCACTCGGTTACCAAGCTGCACGGTTACGACACACAGAGCCAGGATGGGAGCCCGGCATCATGACAACACCACTACGACACTGTACAATAGGCCCCAGACATGTATATATAGACCCTACTTACGATCATTAAACAGCATTCATTTCTACGCATTCCTACTTGACCACTGCCCTTGACCCCTTGACTCTGCTGCTGTTGCAACTACTGATCAGGTTTTTTTTGAAAAATTCATGGCGGTCTTGACTCTGAAAGGGCATTGTGCTCTTTGTGTCGGTAGTTGTTTCCTTTGACGTTGTCGTTTAAGAGTCTGTTGCTCGTGTTGCTCCAACTGCTCCAGTTGTTCAATCTGTTGCCGCTTTGGCTGTTGCTGTTGCTGTTGCTGTTGCTGTTGCTGTTGCTTTTGCCATCTCTGTAGCAAGATCTATTGCTGTTCCTGTCGCTGTTGCTGTTGCTGTTGCCATTGCTGGTGCAATTGCTGTTGCCGTTGCTGGTACTGTTGCTCTTGCTCTTGCCGTTGCTGTTGCTGTTGCTGCTGCTATTGCAGTTGCTTCTTATCCCATTCCTGCAATTCATCTTTCGAATCACTCGATAGTAGTCGTTTGAGCTCTAGCATGTGTTGTTTGAATTCTTTGATAGACTCTGATGTGGCTGTTGGTGGTTCTGGTGCTGGTATCTGTAGCGTTATGTATGGTAAGCCTTGTTTGAGGTCTATCCTGCTCTGCGCTCCGGCTGGTGCTGGTGCTGATGCTGGTACTGGTGCTGGTACTGATGCCGATGCTGGTGCTGGTGCTGGTAGTGCTGGTTGATGCGGCATTGTATTTTGCAAATATTGTCTGAGGTCTATCCTTTTCAGTCCTGACGGCCTTTCAGATCTGATTGTTACGTTCAGCTCTATGAGCCTGATGCTGAGCATTCGTCCGATTAGAGGCGTCAGTGGCTCCCAACGGACGACCTCAGGGAGACTCGTTACCTTGACGACAGCGGCGCTTTTGGCTGCTAGCTTATCCATCATTGAATCAGGCATCACACTGCCTGAGCCCACTAGATAGCAGCGATCCTTGTAGAAGAGATTGAAAGCGTCAAGCCTCCAGGCCTTGATCACCTCCAATGCGCGAGCCTTCTCTGCTCCTGCCCGTAATGGTGGCCGACCTTTCTTAATTTTACTGGTCCCCGCAATTCCCGTTTCCATGACAAATTCGGGGTTACATATGTCGCAACAGTTTTCTAGATCCTGGTGTTGGTTGTTGAAATACGAATTCAGATATCTGCGTCGACAGGTGGTCGAGGTGACATATTTTTTGAGTGCCGGTTCAATCGACTGGATATCACGTCGTGGCACAAGAAGAATCCCGGACCCAGAAATGTGTGGATCGCGCGCCGCTCGACCAAGTCGTTGAACAAGAGTCGAGATATTGTTGGGATATCCATACTGGACGACGCGGACAACGTCACTGATATCGCACCCCATTCCTGCTGCCTCCGTCGACAGCAATACATACAGTGTTGTCAAAAACTGATTCATCGATCCGCTGATTCTGACATTCTCATTGCATTCGCCATCCCTTTTTCATCAATTCTCAACTGGAGTCTCATCATTCATTCCTCGGATTAGTTACATCATTCTCATCCGCTCGCTTTGGAAACAAATCTCGTCATCGTTGCTCCTCGTAGATCTGAGATGAACTCATTCATTAAATCAAATGATCGATATGCTGTCGCGTGCCACGACACGATCGATCGATACTTGGCAAGTGATCGGTCGACTCTTGGCAACGCGTACGACCGTTACACGAAGGCAATGAGAAACATATATACATCCCGTAGTTCTGTATCTTTATTCCTTATCTAGCAACTTCAATATATCTACGCTTTCTTGACCCTGTTTCCCAAACTGAATCTCCTCCCCCTTGTTCTGTCCTGCCACGCTTAAGAAGGTCATCTTGACTCTGAATAAGCATAGGTTCGTGACACATGCTCTATGTGGAAACTTTGGCGGCAGATATCAATGTCTTATATTTACTGATTTGCCGCACAACTATGTCAACACATCCTACTTGATGTTCTCAACATTACCTATAAGTGTTATTTCCACATCCAGTTCTTTGACTACCATTTGGCACATATACTCCCACATGGATTTCCTGCGTAAAACGGTGTCAATGACATCTTTCGGCGGCCGTACTTGCTTCACTGATACTTTGAGGGCAAGATCTCTCATAAAGAATCTTATTGGATACAATATAAAAAGTTGAGATCGTTGCGGAGTCTCTCCAAGGCATAATCGCCTGATAGCCTCCCTGATCGCACTAATCCCATGTACCAAAAATAGTTTGTAACATTACGCCTTGAGGAGAGTCTGCAACGATCTCAACTTTTTATATTGTATCCAATAAGATTCTTTATGAGAGATCTTGCCCTCAAAGTATCAGTGAAGCAAGTACGGCCGCCGAAAGATGTCATTGACACCGTTTTACGCAGGAAATCCATGTGGGAGTATATGTGCCAAATGGTAGTCAAAGAACTGGATGTGGAAATAACACTTATAGGTAATGTTGAGAACATCAAGTAGGATGTGTTGACATAGTTGTGCGGCAAATCAGTAAATATAAGACATTGATATCTGACGCCAAAGTTTCCACATAGAGCATGTCGATCAATTGATTTAATGAATGAGTTCATCTCAGATCTACGAGGAGCAACGATGACGAGATTTGTTTCCAAAGCGAGCGGATGAGAATGATGTAACTAATCCGAGGAATGAATGATGAGACTCCAGTTGAGGATTGATGAAAAGGGATGGCGAATGCAATGAGAATGTCAGAATCAGCGGATCGATGAATCAGTTTTTGACAGCACTGTAGGGGTCGTCCTTTCGATGTTACAAGGAAAAACCAATCGCGAGGGAAAGGAAAATTTCGGAGTTGTTGTACGCAATAAGGACGTCGAGATTTGTCCTGTCAATAGCTTTGCATTCTACTTGTTCGAGCAATGGATGGTATGCAACGCTTGATACTGCTTTCTGCCCAATAATATCATTTTTTTTTATAAATATTTAATAATACCTTTCTGTCCCTTCCTGTCTCTCTATAGTATGGTAGATCACCTTTCGATGACGACGGATGGATTGCGTACTGCCTAATGCCTGGCAAGGATAACAAGTCCAAGCTGTCGGCTGCAGCCCACTACCGGGCCTCAAAAGAGCTATGGGAGGATGCAGGAGTCGTTACCTCGAAACCCACTCATGCTCATCGCGGTGCTGGGGCTCGCCATGCCCAGGATGCTGGTGCAGAGATATCTGCGATCGAGCAACATGGTAGTTGAGGTCATGGCCGCGTCTCGACACATTACTTGACCAGAATCCCGCACAAGGTTGCATTCCAGATGGCTGGTTGTACACACCCTAATGAACGTCTATGGCTGGCCCGGAACACTGTAATACCACCACCTGAGCTTCAGCGGCAGGTTTTCCCGTTCATCAAAGATCACTTCAAGGAGCTTGAAGGACGCGAGGATTGGCTGCAATGGCTCGAAAACGTGATGATGGACAGAAACGTGTATCATAAGCGGCAGTCGACCAAGCGAATGGCAATCTCGTTCTCCGATATTCTTAAAATCAGGATGCTGCTCCTTCTGGCCCACCTACGTAAAGTCGTCTTGCAGGATGCTGTCGCACTTATGAGCCTCCCCAATGAGCCGTTCCTGTATGGGGACCATCGCATCCTTCAGCACAGCGTCTTCAAAGGATCCTTGTTTTTGGAGTTCAAGGGAACCTTGCTAAGGAGTATGGAAACCGCAAGATCTCCCATGACGGACAGTCTTTCCGTCAATACCCCAGCTCTCCATAACGAATTCAGCAGGATGAACAACAGAATGAGTCGAGCCGAAAGCGAACTTCGCCATCTCTTTCAAGAAAGCAACAACCAGGCAGCCCAGCAAGTAAAGCGCCTCGAACACCTCCTTGTCAACCAGTTCAGCAGCTATGTCACCCACAACAACAGCTGTAATAAGGAGCTAGTAGCTCGGATGTTTGGAATTATACAAGACATATCGACTTCGATTAGTCACACTGCTCACCTTGGACTGTAGTCGATTATGGGGCATCAGCAGCAGCCGGGGCAGCAGCAGGGGTAACAGGTTCCGCCTGTAGCACCAACAGCACCAGTAACACCAGTAGCACCGGTAGCTCCAGCAGCCCCAGCAGCCCCAGCAGCTCCTAGACAGCAGTCCTTGAAGGAGAGACGGATGGTGCTCGAAGAAGAATTAGGGTCCCGGTATGTACACTATCCACCTAATAGTGTGGATCTCGTCGACGTTACAATGCTGCCGTGCAATGAACCACTTCAACGACAATGGGATGAATGGTTCAGGGGCGTAGACGGGCGGCCATCACTTTGGATCTTGAATAAGACGTTTAAATCCAAATGGCGCAAAGGGCATGGTAACACGCTGGCGAAAACATTCTCGTTCAAGAAGACAATCGTGTACTCCATCTTGGATTTGATACTGAACACCGAAGGGGCGACGTTGGAGGCAAGGGAGGAGTCAGCCTTGCAGGTCGTGGAGGATCAACTGAGGGTCATGACCTTGAACAGATATTACCTGAACGTCGCTAAGGGTATGGGGCAGCTGGGGCAGCCAGGCCCGCAGCTGGAGGACGAGGAGGAGCAGGAGGAGAATGCCTAGAGGAACACGCGACTTAAAACATGAGATATATTATTGCTATATTGCTAGATTGCTAGATAATACTCCGCCATACTTGAAAAGAAGTTAGCTGTTGCTACATTGCTACAGTCCACGGAAAAAGTGTTAGCATGTTTTGCTATTTTGGACTTATACTCCTTTATCTCCCTATTACGCTATTACCAAGGACCGAGATGTCTGGTGGACAATGTCGTAATTTACAAGGAGTTTTCTAGAATGTTCCAGGCTTGAATGACCTTCAGCTGAGGAACGAAGGATCTCGAAAGTCATGAGGTGCACTCTAACACTTTTTAAAAAATCCTATAAATTGTGCTCTTCCCTTACGGTCTGCATCCTCACTCGCAACTAGAACAATACAACTGCACAGTTATCCACTACTCCCATCCTACGCCACATTCATCCCAAGTTTACATCAAACATGAAGCGGCTGCGAGAACAAACCGTACGCGATGCGATTATCCAACTTCGGCAAGGAAAATCTGTCCGCGAGGTCTCAAGATCCTTGCATATCTGTACTTTCTCCGTTTCCAAGATTCGTCAAAGGGACAAGGAGAACGTTCCATCCCCTAAAATAGGGCGTCCTTCGAAGGTTTCGAAGAAGACCAAGACCTTACTTGCTCGTCATTTCGTCACAGGAAAAGCCGTAACCCTCCGCGACGGCCAGCGACTTATCCAATCGGTGCAAGGAGTGCAGGTTCATGTAGACAGTGTCCGGAACTACCTTAAACAGGAGGGCTTAAAAGCATACGTCCAGCCTAGGAAGCGTGATCTGACACCGGATCAATCAGAGCACGCTACGAATTTGCTAAGGCGCACTTGAAATGGACCGTGGACGACTGGAAGAATGTGATGTTCTCGGACGAAACTATAATCAGCAGGATTGGGTCCTTCGGCAGGAAATTCTATTACAAGAAGCCCAACAGGAAGGATATCCAACCTCACCAAGTGCAGAAAACAAAGCAGGGCGGAGGGGGCAAAATTATGGTCTGGGGTTGCATGACATTTTATGGCTTGGGCGATGCCTGCTGGATCCCAGGAAGTATGGATGCGCAAGCCTACCTCGGTGTACTGAAGGACTATCTTTGCGCATCTCGGGATTGGTTTGGTATGGATCCAGCAAAATTCATTTTTCAGCAGGACAATGCCAAAGTGCATACAGCAGGCATAGTCGAACACTTCCTTAGGAAATCCAAGATCGCAGTCATGGAATGGCCTGCGAATTCTCCGGACCTCAACCCGATCGAGCATCTATGGTCGCACCTCAAGTACCGACTTGATCAGTATCCAGAGGCACCAAGCTCTTTGGACGACCTCTGGGAGCGTGTTCAGGATATATGGACAACAATAGATATCGAATTCCTTCACGAGCTATATGAGAGCATGCCCGAGCGCATGAAGAAGCTTCACGCAAATAAAGGAGGCCATATCGATTATTAATGGCAGAAAAGTAGCTAACAGAATCAGAGGGTGGTCATATTTCGAAAAAGTGTTAGAATGGGGTCAATATGTTCATGTCCTCAATTAGCCGGATAGAGTGCATCCATTGGCTCGTAACTTGGCAGGTAACCTTAACAAATATACGAGGTTGATCGCGTGAAGCCTCGTAGCAGTAGGCGGTATTGATGTAAGTATCAAAGAAAAAAGGTCGAAATTATGAAAACATGCTAACACTTTTTCCGTGGACTGTAGGCTAACCTTCTGCTTAGCCCTCAACCACGCCCCCATCACCGCGCCTCCATCACCGCGCCTCCACCACTGCGCCCCCTGTATATTAGTATAAATACCTCTATCTCTCTGTATAATAAAGATCATCCGTTCTAGCCCTTGTCTCTTGTCCCCTGCCTCTCGTGTTCCTACCTCGTGTCCTCTTGTTCCTGCACTTGTTCCCTCCTTCGTTCTGTTGCTATTACATATAGGAAGGAGGGGGTCATTTTCCCTATAGGAGAGAGAACATGAGTGGGCGTGTATTTGTCAACTTGCTAAATTATCAAGATCTACCCTGGGCTTAGGCTCGTCTCCAGCCCTCTCTCAAAGCGCAAAGTAGCATGCTACTATCTCGCGAAATAGCCTCTTATGGAAATTTTGCAATTGCTTACAGAGGGGCTGGTTAGACTCTAGGCTAGGCTTAGGCTCGAATCCATCCAGCCGTCGAAAGCGCATTGCACGTGAGCGGGCATGCGGCTAAGGCTGGCCTTTGATTTTGCCTATAAAAGGCAATCGTGGCTCGGCTCTTGCCATTGCTTCTCTGGCAGGCTGGGGACAAACTCGACCCTCTACTAAGGGATAGATTTTTGCGCCTGTAAATCGGTGGCCTCCGCACAAACTCCATGTAACAATAAAGTTTCCCTCAGATTTTTTTTTCTTTTTTTTTTTTTGGTTTTTTTTCTGCCTCGGAACCCTTTTCTCTTCTCATCTTCCTCTTCTTCCTCGTCTTCTTCTCTCCCCACCATCCTCCCTCAAGTCATACTGTACTTCTACACCCTCTATACCCTCCATACCATCCATACCCTCCAAACTCTTCCTCTATACCATTTTACGGAGCCGTCTACCATACCGACGCCTCACAGGTACGAGCCATGTTTCGTTCTTTCTCACGCGTGTATCGGTACAGTATGGTGCAAAACTGATTCAATGATGCGATGATTTTTGCGTTGGCACTCGCCTACAAGGAACCAATGCCTCAGCCATCGTCATATTCACCACAAATGTAGCCCATCCAATGACGAACAGGGCTGCTTGCTTTGGAGCCAGAAGTATGCACACCCATTGCTGCATGACGATTGTGCCATCCGTCATCATTGAATCAGTTTTGCACCTACTCCTTGAATACGAAGAACAGATTTTTTTTTTATTCAAAATGGTACCTCTTTAGTACTTAGTTTGCTTGC